TAGGATTAGACATGTTGGGGGGGTACCCCTTGGTCTCATTTCTTGCTTGGTATAAAAAAAATTCACAAGCTTTAATAGTCAGGTGGGACTCGCGACACACGACGGCTTGCTTACTGATGCAGATGTCTTAACCACTCAACCACTGAGCTTGCCGAGTTGGGTCAGCCAGTCCAAGTCAGATACAGCAGTGGGTACCGCAAACGAAAATTAAGGTCTCCTCATTGCGGAGCACGTCTTCAGAAAGGCCATGTTTGAACAAGGTCTGCTTGTTCATCGTAGTCATGTTTTACCTACCAGTGGCTGGTAGAACTATGGCCGGTCATCAGTTCAAAAGTAAAACAATAATTACAGTACAGATTTGCAGAGCACCATGCAAGGATGTCTCTTTTGTATGCGTGGTTCTGAAGAGAACTGGAGGGTACTCAACGTTTGGGACGGTATGCGCTGTCCGTCGCCTTTGCTCCTGACCTGTACTTTACTTGACACCTTCACCATAAAATGCTTCAAAGATCAAAACAATAATTCACTGAATGTTACCGTGCTCATGCACCTATAAAACTGTCAAATAACAAACACTACTTCATAAAATACTCAATGAGAACACAATCCTCTCAAGAAGTTCATGGAGCAAATGTACTATTGACATAAAATTTGGAAGCAATCGAGGGTGGCATTTCTGCCAACTTTGGCTGCATATACAGATAGTAGGCCATACGAATGAGGTCTAAACGAACCGGCTGTGATCAGAAGTAACATGTATGTCAATGGGAAGTGCTGTGCAGTCACAAGCCAGTGGCTTCCGTAGACAAATGTTTTAGTTTCAGCAAAAGCCATAAGTTTGAACTCGGCTTATGGCTACAGCCAATACAAGGCCAGAAGATTGCCCCTGCAGTGTATGAGCAGTGACATGAGGTCAACTCAATTTCAATGTTCATGTAAGCAGATGACTGCACTGTTGATTTGTTATGTTCTGATGATCTCTTTTATTTGCCAGAATGACCTGTTCTTTCGTCATGCCTGCCTTTATTTTTTTTGGGGGGGTCTCTGTCCAGGTTTGCCCTAGGGGCGTGGCAGACCGTGTCAATCTGGGGCTGATCCCCTCCTCTGAAGTAGGTTGGCCTGTCGCCTGTGCCGCCCTCAAACCCAGCAGCGGTGGGGTTCTCCATGTCCATGGCAACGTCACGTCACCTGCAAAGACGCGGACCACGGGCTCCGTATCCCTCGGAGTACAGGCCATTGATTTGGCGGCAAAGGAGGGTGGGACATCTCCGTGTACTTCTGGTACAAGAACAGCAAGTGTGGTGTCACCACCACTTGCTGGAATCAGAACAGCAGATCCAGGTTGCCCAGCTGAAGATGTCAGCAGTGGTAACCCTCACCAGAAGGGTGCAATTGGTGATAGAATCGGGCCATGCGTTTTACTTCCAGATCTTAATGCCGGCAATTCTGATAGTGGCTTCACCATTGATTCAGCTGGCTGCAGTTTCGGAGACAGTGTTGAGCTTGCCGAACCAAATGCTGCAGGACATGAAGAACTGATGGATCAGCTTCATCAATTGAGAAAGGATGTCAAATGTCCTGCAGATTATTGGGAAAGTGAGAAAACGTTCACAAACAGGTCCCGTGTTGATTCAGAGTCCGGCCGTAAAGACTACTGGAGCAGCTGGGCTCGTGCAACCGCTCGGAAGATTCAGGAGCTCCTGGTTGATATTCAGGGCAGTAGATGGACCACCCACGTGATGCACATCGAGCACGTCAAGTCTTACGCGCCCCGTGTGGATCACATCGTGGCCGATATCAGGTGCCTACCAGTGGCACATAGTAGTGATGAGGTCTGATCTGTGCTAACCCTAATGCGACAGCTCCTTGTTCTTACGTTACATGTAGCAACCAAGAATGTTGTCTACTTTTTCCAGGAAACTGAAGAGAATTTTTCCAGCTGAGGAGACGCCAGCATTTATTGCATGTTTCAAAAGCACACATTTTTGATCAGGTGAAAGTTGCATGACAGTACAAGAGACATGATTTTCAATTAATTGAAACTCGGAGTACACAAGCACTTGTATTGGTTGTAGTTTATTGGAATCCAATTTCTCTCCCTCATAAATTTATTCAACAAATACTAAATCGCCTTCACCCACAGTGCTGTGAAAAACAAAAACAGCTTCTCCTGCCAAGTCTGTAGAGCATTGTGTTGTGTTCCATTTTGCCTCCAGAAAATAGCAATAAGCCTTTTGCGAGTTAACTTTGACCCAAATCTGGTACACTGAGTTCTTTAAATTCCCATGAACATAACAACTTGAATTCACCTTCGTAAAAACCACTGTTCCTATACCTCATGATTCGGGGCAAGTTTTTGCTTAGTTACATAAGAGATGCCTTGCAACAATCCACTGTTCTCAATGGATGAGAGGGGCACAAAGGAACCAGTCCATTCCAGAGACGGTGGTCGCTATGCAAAAGCTTGCCCCAAATCACGAGGCATAGCAACAGTGTCTTTAGTCTGGGGAATTCAAATCGTTATGTTTATGTGCAGTCAGATAACTCAGTGCACCAGATTTTATTGAAATTTAACTCATAAATGGCTTATTGCCTCACACTTAAACTTGGGAAACTATTTTCACTCGAGTTTACAGTATTCTGTTAAACCATGAGCCAAGAGCCCTGGACAGGTGGGCAGCATATTACATGCGCTACAGCGTTGTATTGAAGTCCATCACAAGTCCCTACAGGTCCCTGTGTGTCCATCACAAATCCAATCACAATTCATTTAGTCTCAAGCCAGTTCACAAGCTATTCAAATGACCTGTGACAAAAGTATTCTTTTGGCATTGCTCACCATGTTACTTATGACTGGGACTTGTGGTGAACTCGACTACAATATTTCTTCTTTGTACAATTCAATGAACACATTACTGGCTTGTCCGAGCAAATGATAAAGTTGTAACGCAAACATAAAATTAAACATAATTTTTTTTTTCTAAAAGAATATTCAAGGATGAGATTGGAAACAAAATTAAGCAGCATCAAAAAAATTAACCAGGGGTTTTGAGGGCCGTACAGCAGTGTTGTGTCTGTTGTACACATTTATATTTGCCTCTAGGCACCCCTTAAACTATCCATTTCTTGTGTTCAACATCAAGCTTTTTAAGGAAAAAACCTTAATGATAAAACCCAAGATTTTCCAGATTTTCAGAGAGACTGTTCGAACAATCCCCAAATCAGGAAAATCCTGATAAAAAAATCCTGAAATAGTTGAACCTCCCGACAAATGTCACCCTGCAACCCTTGGGAATCACACCGAAATAAAGCTGAAAAAGTGAATATTCCCTTTTTTCAGAATGATTCACAATGTGGAATGTGTAATGGCCCTAAACCATAATGACGTCATGCTTTGTTTACATCTCCTATGGGGGGCTTGGTGGATCGCATCCCACCTCACTGCCAGAGGACAGCACAAATGTACAAAAGCGTGACGTCACGTCACAGGTCCAGGGGTTGAGCAATTTGATTGGTTTTAAACTGTACTTACTGCAATGAGTAACTTGTCTATTCTTCAACGGATCCCTATTTCATTACAACTTGATCGATGAAATAGCCCACTAGATGCACCGGGTGATGGCAGCTTGGTATCGCTAAACATAAAGTGCATTCAAAATGAAAAGCTACATGCAGGGTGTCGTTAATTTGTCCAACTCCTCTGAATCTGTAATGCATTTTCGTTTTTTATAGTCGGGCCCATACATGGCCTGCGGAAGATTTTTTTTTCACTGGTCCAATTTGACGGAGTAAAAATTGGCTGTGTTAGCCCAGTTTTGTTCCATCAACTCAAAAGACAGCCCGAGGGGTGGAGGTTCTGTGTTGAGCGACCTTGATGGGTGCGAGCATTCTGTGAAACTGGGCCACTGATGGGGCCCCTTCTCGAAACCAAGTAGCATCTCTGAGTTCAGCTTCGTGTTATCAACCTTGGGGCAAAACAGAGGCCCCCAAGGATGAAGCTGCAGCCACGGATGATGCCACTATTTGAAAAATGGCCCTGGGATCCCTTGACGTCGGTGAATACACAAAATATACACAGAATCGTCTAATTGGTTATATATCATCAGTACTTATATACAAACAGGTGCAATTCTAATTGGGAGGCATGGGGTGGGCTAGAGAGAATGTAACCCCTCAAACATTTGTCCGGCTAAGCACAACACAAACAGGTCCATGTTTTTTCATGTCCTTGGACTGATTTCAATGAAAATCCAGTCGTAGTTTGGAGATACGCATGAAAACAAATGACGCTTTCTCTGCTAGACATTTGCTTGTTTTTTGCAATCTTCTGAACCACACACAGCCACTACACTCAGTCGCGTTAGGTCGTGTTCAAATTACATGTACTTGGCTGTGGCTTAATATTCCACAGGACTCCATGGGAAGTGGCTACAGCCATTAGCTTAGACTTAAATGTCATTTCAAGTTGCAACCAAGTAATTCGGACTCTGCCTCACTCAACCACTCAACGTGTTAACCTCTTTTCCATTTAAGTCAGTTCACCTTGGTTTACGTCTCCAAAGGAGTTACCACAATAGTGGCCCACAAATCTGGACACCTGCAGCCATTTTGTGTCCAAAAGGAGGCCAGTGGCAACAAATCCATTTTTGTGGCTACAGCTTTACTCTTTTTGCCATTAAAGTAAACCGTGATAACAAGCCGTTAACACAGACCGCAATGACTAATTATAGGGATCTACATGACTTGTACCGGACCTTCCTTACAGTGCTTACCACGTTTGGTAGCCTTTGGGCCTGTTTGTTTCACATGGAACTAGATCACACTCAGTGGTCCCAACGCTGGTTTTTTTTCTATCCATTAGGTGGGTTCTGGTGTCAGTGAACCAGAGCTGGTTTGCTCAATCCATTAGGTGGGTTCTGGTGTCAGTGAACCAACTCTGGATCACTGATCACAATCCAGGTCTGTGTGAAATAAAACAGGCCCTTCACAATCTCAAACCCTTGCACCACCAAAAAAAAAAATTCTAAGATACATTCCCGTGTACAATATGGAATAAAAAGTACTCCGGTATAAACTTGTTAATCCATAAAATTACTGTTAGTTACAATCTTTATGATTCCTGTTTCAATGGAGAAGATTGCTCCCAGTTGTCTTCGTGCAAGTACGGTACCTGGGCACTGCAGCTTTGCAACTGAGCCATTTTGTGCCCAAAAGAAGGCCAGTTGTCATAAACCTACACACCAATTTTCATTACTCCTTTAAGTCATGAGGGCTTAACTTGAAATGGGACAGTATCGTGGAGCCAGATACAAAGTGGTAGTGACTGCTGGTGGCAAGTTTACTTGCTATTAAGCAAAACAAAGAGCAAAGACAGTTTCTGAGAGAACCTTTGTCCATTTTAGAGAAATCGACAGCAGACATCATTGCAAGCGGGGCACCAAACTTGGCATAATCTGTTTAAAGAAAGCCCAAAAAACAAAAAAAAACAAGAAAAGGCCCACCCAAAAGGCCCTCAATCTTTGCATTCCTGGCCATGAAATACGTATGCATGACAGGTTTTTATAGCGCATTTTCTAAAGTCAGGGAAACACAAAACAAGCCGAAAAAAGTCAGCAAGAGATTGGCCGCAGATGGGATGAAAAGCTAGGACTGCACACGAGAAAACTTCAACGTGTCAAGCACTGAGCTAGCTGCATTCTTCAGGCGAATACCAAGGCAAACCCAGTATGATGTCACAGCGAAATTCATATTTGATCGGATGTCACACAGTCGCGTACGAACCAGCTTTTGCACTGCATGTCAAGTGCAAGACAAAGACATTCTAGGGGTTGATATGTCCCCATGTAGGGTAGCGCTGGTCTCCGGTATCGAGTCCCAAACAAAGTAAGAGAAGTCTTAGATATTAAGTCCCAAGTAAAGTAAGGCGATAAAGCTGTGCTCCCCAGCAAAATCCTCTAAACCTCCAAGTGGTTTCCATGGATCCGGGTAACACGTCAGGATTACTACTTGATACATTGGTCAGCTATAATCACTCATTATACAGTATACATAAAGGCCTATACTTACAGGAACACAATTGTTCAGAACCATTTTCAGTACTTTTGAAAAAAGAAAAATTAGATAACAGATTAAGTGACAGTCAATAATTTAAAAAATAGAAAAACTTTAAAAACACAATAATGCTTGCTGAAATCCAACGGGCCTCCAGCTGCACCAAGACAGGGCACTATTTCCTTAGCAATGGAGGCTCCTTTGGTACTAACTGCACATTGCTGGTTCACGGGTGACTATGAAACCAAGCGGTGCAGTCGCATTGCCACCAACAAAATGAATACTCCCGATCAATGTGGCCCTTTCCAACCAGTGAGGGGGTGCTTCTGCTCGAGGTGGATTAGAAGAAAAACCATGGAGTTTGTTAAAATTTTGATTGTCAAATGGAAAGAAGACCGGTTTACAAACAATGACAAACAATGAGGGAGTATGCTGGAATTCCAGGTTTTTAAAGGAGACTGGGTTATGGTGTCATGTTTAGGCAGCTTCTTTTCAGATTATCTCAACACTGATGAATTTAAATTTAATACAGGCACTTTTAGGCGGTGACAAGGATATGCACTTGAATGTTTTTGCAGTCATGTTTGTGGCACCCACCAATCATGTGGTACCTGTAGGTTTGTGCCCAATCCAAGGAAGACTGCCCTCAGTACTCGGTGCTGTATGTGAGTGAACAGTGCTCGCACACAAAACGTGGCCTGTATGCACTCTGGGTCTTGTCAGCCTGTGTGTAGAACCATGTCTGAATGACTTGGTTGTGGCTGAAATTAGAACATGTGCCTATGGAGGCCGCTAGCTACGATGTATGCAGCGGCTAATCTGTGGCTTATATCCACTGACTCATGTGCTACTGCCAGTCATAGCCACGTAATTAGGACACAGCCCATGACACACAATCACCTCTACTGCTGTCTGCGACAGTTGCTGTGCCTCCTCACCGGCAACAAAGAGACAGCTTGATGGGGCATTCTATTCAACCGGGCAAGAGGACTAGGCCAGCGCACGGGCGTAGACCACAATAGTCCAACAGAAATCGGTCCTATGTGTTCTGCGTGTCATGAACCTGTGCGCGCACATAGCGAGTTACGAACCAAAGGACCAACGCTGCTACGTAAAAAGACACTCTCTCTTAATTGTCACATGAAGCAGATATTACCAAGTCGGGTTAACGCATTTGCTGAAGTTGCAGGATTTCGTGCGGGAAAATAGTGAAATACTCAGCCCCAGTTAACCCCTTCGCACCAGAACCATCAACAGCCGCGGCCTTGTGTGAGGATTAGTGCATACCACACATACATTCTATTCATCATGCACCTGCAGTTTCAATGTGGGCCTGCTGCTGGACAAGGCTTTGCCTACTGAGCATACCGCCGCCCAGCAGTCCCGGTCAAAAGAATCCCGGCGTTTAGGTGTTAAGAAATTGAAGTCTCAACCGGTAAATGATGTTGAGATCTACTTCATTTAGCACTTGGCCTGAGTCTAACTACTCGGAAACATTTTTTTCATGAAGCTGACACGGTGAACGTTGAGCAAAAATTGAATATCAACAAGCGTTATTCTGCCTTTCATTAGCAATTTTTTCCTACATTTATTAAAGAAAGTTTAGAGAAGTCTGATAATTATTGCATGGAACAATAATATGGCACGCCATGATTAGAACAGTACAAAAGGCCGCAAAGGGGAAGAGGTTAGGAACCAGACAAAGGGGCAAATTCACAAAGATGCTGGGCAGTCTTGCAAGGAACGTTGACTCTTCAGCACTATTAGACAGGCAACTTGCCCAAAGCAAACGTCACCGGTCCCACAAAACAAGTGAACAATTTTGATGAGTCTGTTTTAATTTTCACAAGAAAGAGAAAACTTTGACCGTGTCCGAAACGGCCTTCCAGAGCTACGGCTTGGTCTATTGTCTCCGCACACTTCCAATGGAGGGAAGGCCTAGACCTAGCTCTAGACAACAGATTCGGATGCAGCCTGAGTTCTTTGTTTTGATGTGTCACCCATTTGAAAATCCTGGTGAAAATGGACAATTTGTAGGGGAGCAGTGTTGAGGGTTCCCTACATACACTGCAAGATCCTCTTGACAGGCTGCCACTCATCAGTTACTCTGGCAACGTCTTGGGTCACAGGTTGAGGCACCCACAATAAGTTTCCTTAAATATGAAACTATTTGAGGATGGGGGACCTTTTGAATTTCGCCATGGTGACAACATAAACATGGCAACTGAAAACAAGTGTTTCTCTGTTTTACAAAGTGCCCTCTGTTGTCCAGAAGCCAATTATTACCTCATAAATGTGATTCAATAACGGCTTAACAGAGACTGAGAGATAACAATACAGCCATGACCTGTTTAAATGTGTCTTTAACTTGTGGTCCGGGCGTGTTGCCTTCACAACAGAATTTTCCAGTGTACAAAGTAACTTTGCGCACAATTAACATAACACTGGATTTCACGGTAAAGCTATGCTACACAATTCAAACATTGCACATTAAAAGTTCATAGGCATATTTGTGTGACAAGCCTTGACATGACTGAACAACAGAGGGCGCTGTAATTAACAAAGGGAGATGCTGATCACAATGTGCTGAAGAACTACCTCCCCAGAGACAAATAGAGAAAAGCCCTGTTTTATGTATGGAACCTTGTACTCATGACAACAAAAGTATAGGCAACAGCATAGGGAACCAGACACTGACAGACTGGGGGGGCAACAGGGACCATGGCCACCCAACGGAACAAAAATGTTCTGTGTTTATTAATCACCAGAAAAAGGCTGTTTGGGGGACTATTCCACTTTCTTCCTCCAAAGAGCAGGCAGAGCCCTCAAGTTTAACCTCACCCCTGAGAAAGGCCATACTGGGTTTACTTCAAAATTTTTTGGGGACCCTACCACAAGAATAATATTAGCCCCCTGAAATTCGGTTATGGATACGCTCTCGAATCCATTTTTACAATTTAGAGAAAGGTTCACAGGAAGATTCTTAAGCCTTCCTAATCAAGCTCCACCCATTCCCCTCGGGTACTTTCCCCAATTTTTTTTTTTTGGGGGGGGAGGTTCAGGAGGTTGTTACACGTCCTGCCCGCATATTACTTGTCGACTGTGTAAATGGTAGGGCCGCCGTCAGACGACTTCAGGCTGGTCTTCTCCGTGGGCTCTGGGGGTGGCGGCATGGGGATGGCCGTGTTCGGGGGCGGCACGTCGCGCAGGTTGGCGGCGGCGGCAGCCCCACTGATGTTGGCCGCCGAGGCGTCGGCGCCTGGCTGCACCGTGACGGGCACATCGTTGGCCCCCAGGCCGGCCTCCTCCTCCTGGGCGCCCCGCAGGATCTCCTCAAACTCCTCCTGGGTGTACTCTTCCTCCTTGGGGCCGCACTTGCCGCAGCAGCCGCAGCAGCACAGGCAGCAGCAGAAACAGAAGCAGTAGCAGGTCAGGAAGAAGCAGACGCCGCAGCAAACCTTCAAAGAAGCAAAACCAACCAGCAACAACATATTACTTTCAACTACCGACATTCAATGCAAAGAACGCAAGTAGCGTCTCAGGGCAAGTTCAGGCACGAACTATAGTTCGACCAGTAGTCAACTGCTTTTTAACCCCTTTGCTACGGAGGATTGCTACTACCGCATCATTGTGTCAGGATTAGTGCATACCACACATGCAGTCTATTCACCATGCAGCTGCTGGTTCAATGGGGCCTGCTGCTGGACAAAGCCCTCCATTCAGGGCATACCACAGCCCAGCAGTCGCAGTCAAAATAATCCCGCCGTGAAGGGGTTAAAAATACGCGTACACAATTAAGTTACACTCCAACTACCATAGTATGTTTAAGTTTCAAAAATCAAAAATGGCCATTGAAATCTCATGCAATTATTTTCACGTGAATGGTTTCCCCCCAATGATAAATGAAATTGGCTATTGATAACCAGCAGTGCGACCATACCCCTGGGCCTAGTCCTAAATGGTGGACTAGTCTAAACCGTCCATCGTTCAGGCAGTGTTCGTCGATATCTAGATAATTACAGTCATCGCTCCAACTCACTCTAATATCTGATGCACGTTGTCGCTACACAGCTGCAATCCTTCAAACTCATCTACTTATGAAAGAGAGAATTTGGAGGATTTGGGAAGGTCAGGGTTAAAAGTCTACGTCCAAACTTCAAGAAAAAACTGGAAAATACCAAACCCTACCCCTACAAACCTCAAAACCACTCTGCGGGCTGTTTGCAGGAAATGAAGAGTCCGTTTGGGTCTCTCAAAAAAGTCACAGCCGCTTGATGAGTTTCGATTTGTGACCTCACTGACGACTACACTTGAGTCCTTGTTCACTTACCCTGAAGCATCTGCTGTTTACCAGGAAGTACAAGTCAACGTTATCGTCGCCGATCTGTTCAGCGATGTACAGCCCCACTGAGCCGTAGTCGTCGTAGATCTGTCGCTTTTTAGTGTCAGTGAGAACTCTGTGTGCTTTGTTGATCTCCTTAAACTGTAGAAGCAGAGGAAAAACTACCAGGCTAACGGCGGGCTTACCCAATACAACTGAGTGACAATAAAACTGCTCATAAATTGTGTACTGTTAAAAAAACCGGAATGCATGAACAATATGACTTGGAAAAACTGTTCTTCTTCAACTATAAGTTTCAAGAGGCAGCTGGTTTCTTCTCGAGTTTAACCTGTTAAAAATATCTGCAACCACATGGAAATTGTCAGTCAGTATGTGGTTTGTCATGCCATGGAAATGCAGGGTTGGGATTTTTCGGTTACATTTTTTTCCAAAAGTTGGCGATTTCCATGTTTCGGAAACAACCGCGTATCGTGACAATAAAATTGTGTTAACTTGTCCTCCACCAGTGCGCACAGGTGAAGGCAAAAAAAACAGCCTCGGAATGAAACGAAGACAGCCCCTCTGAATGCTGATTCGAAATGTGACACGGCCCAAAGGACAAAGCAACAACATACAGATGGCCGCTTTCTGGCGTTGGGCAGTGCAGTGAGAATGTCAGCCTCGGCAATGTTCAGCTCCCTCTTTGCTGGCTTGTACGATAAAAGCCAACGATACACATGTACTGCGCAATGGCAACAGTAAATTCTGTTACAGTTTGGGGGTTCTGCTTGGCCTCGAGTACTGTTGAAGCTTAGCAAGCATTTGCGAGTGGATTCCAAATTTCCATTACCACAGTAACTCTTGCTTGCATCAGAGACCTATCCAACCCTTTAAACAGAAAACCATATTTGGTAGCCATTGGCTCCTAATGGGGAAAAATCGAGGAGCTAGCACTTTTATGAAAATTTAGTAATCATGTGTGCTGAATATTCATGAACGTACACGTACGTACACACATGTAGTATAAATACCCTGCGTTTACATCGTCCATCCATGCCGAAGAATCATGACCTGGCGTGGCACACGTCCACCACACAACTTGCATACAAGCGCCAATGAGGTCAATCCACGAAATCAGGGTTTTCGCCAAGAGTTCAGCCACGGACGTTATGACGTCTATAGTTTCAGCGTGTCACAGGACACCCTGCTACATGAATTGTGCTATTTCTGACACTCTAAATCACACCGACACCCTTTAATTCTGACATGAGCTCCGTTTCAGATTTCATTTATGTTGCTGCAAGAAATGGAGCTCATGCCATGCCGTGGTTTGTAAAATGGCCCTGGTGTCCGTATACAGTGCATCAGCAAAGTATGTTTAGATCGGGAACCGACCAAACCGTGCGCGTGATCGCGACACATGTACATGTAAAGTATGGTATATGTAGATGTACCAGTACAGCACACTTGATGCAACTTGCGCTGCCATTGCTACTTTTCCGGAACGAACATTGAGTACATAATCATTGTTTTTTTTATTTTTAAGCATACTCAAAATTGTTCAAATACGTTTGTATGTAGTTTTAAGCTATCTTAAATCGCACATGGTGACTGGATGGTGAAAATATGATCGCATTAGCAAAATTTTGGTCGCATTTGCGACTAATTAAGCCGCTATTTAAAGTGTTGGACCTATGGCATACTAAAGCGGCAGCCAAAAGTGGGCTTCCTGAACAATGTGTACAGCTACTGTAGGTCTAATGTAAGGGATAAACCCATGCTTTTCTCAAATGGAAAAAAAAAATTATTTTTAATTATTGGATTTGCCCTCACACTGACGTATATTAATTAATAATGTGTACTTGCGATAAAAATTCATGAGCTTGCTCGTGTGGGACTCGCACCCACGACCTTCTCCTTAATAGTGCAGACGACTTAACAACTCGACCACCGAGCTTGCTGGAGTTGGCTGTCCGGTCCGAGTCAGGTGTAGCAGCGGGTACCACAAACTGATTTCAAGATGTACTTTGCGTCGAGGAGATGTTAATTTTAATTATGGGATTTGCCCTCAACTAATCAAGGGCAAATAATTAATATACGTCAGTGTAAGGGCAAATCCCATGAATAAAATTAACATCTCCCCGATGCAAAGTACATCTTGAAGTGAAAAAAACACAGATCTAGACCTGACTGCTGACACACACCGCACGGAATGATCAACATACGAGAAGAAAAAACGAATGGCTGCAGAGAACTGGGGCCAATTGCATAGAGCTGCTTAAGCACAAAATTTGCTTAAGCGCGAGAAAAACCTTACTCGATAAATCAGGTAACCAGCCTAAATTCCATGTAATGTATATTGTTTTGGGATTGTATTTAGCTGTTTTTTGGTTAGCATGACAATCAGATAGAGTTTGAGCAAGTAACCTTTGTTTATTAAGCAAAGTTTTTTCCTGCTTAAAGCAAATTTTGTGCTTAAGCAACTCTATGAAATTGGCCCCTGGCGACTTCACTCACCTTTTCCTCTGCCGTGGGATCATCCCTGTTCTTATCTGGGTGATACTTCAGGGCCAACTGCAATGAATCAAAGACAGTTGGGAATGGTAACCAAAGACATTTGATGGTAAATGCACAGAGATAACAGCACACGATCAATAAATGACTTCAGACACTCCCAGTCTTGCAAAAACACACACATCGGGGAGAAAAGTACTTCAGGAGTGTAGTACTCAGTCAAGGGCTTTTCACCTACATTTATCTTAAAAACTTGATTTTTTTAAAACAATGATGGTCTGAAGTCATCAATTTTGTAACCTTTCCTTTATGTATTTAGTAATCAATGCCCGGGTCTTCAGCTTTGTTCCCTGCTAACTAGTTCAATGTTTGGTACAAACCTTGCGTAATACTGCTTCAGATTTATTATATTCACATATCTGGCCATTTTCACAGGGCCGGGGGTTTCGTGAAGTAATTTTGACACTCCACAACTTATTTTCAATCAAGGTAATTCTGTGAAAAATGAAATATTAATTGTATTGCCCAAATTCAAAGAACCATCGCCAGATTTTTAATTTGGTGGGAGCCACGCAAATACTTAGTGGGTTGCCTGACCACGTTCATAGATTGGAGAACACTGTTGATTTTATTTCAACCCCCATCCCAACATCTGGGTTCCCTTAACGTGATCAATTCTTAAAGATAAAGAATCAAATGAAATAGCCAATGCAACAGAAACCACCGGCCATCAATAATCAATACCAAAAGCTAAATGATCAATAATGTAACAGAGACCTTCCTGTATGCTTTCTTGAGCGCATCATTGTCGGCACCTTTTTCTACGCCGAGGGTTGCGTATAACGACTCTCCTGAGGTACTGGGTAAAGGAGAACGAAAACAGATATCAGAGCAAGTCAGAATATGCCAGCCAGCAAAGACATTTTTGCCTGAAATGGCAGGCCTACAGGAAACACTGAGGCCTGAGGGGAAAAAACCTGAAAAGGAAAAACCAGAGTTTCTGGTAAGTCATGTGCTCTATCTTTAGTATATGGCAAATTACCCTGTGACATGAGCCTATAGAGCTGGATATTTCCATCTTGAAAACTCTCGAGTTCCCAGCCCAATTTTCAGGCCCTATCTATTTTAATTAATCAAGTGAAAGGCCTATAGTATATGTACACGTAACCCTAAACAATGATTATAAATGCAGGCCTAATGTACTGTCGCACATTCCATGGCATGCAGTATGTTAACCGTGGTGCACCAGCTGCCATGCCAAGCATGGTAACCACTGACAAAGCAAATCTATTTAATTAATAGATTAATCATGTTAATCAGCTGTGCTGGTTATGTAACCACTAAGGCCATGTCCTACATGTAGGTCTACACATGTAGACTGCACCCTCCAAGCTCCACCATGTCCACTCTCGTCTCCACTCCAACACATGCACTCCACTACCCCATGATTTTTGCATTCATAATGTTCATTGATCAGCATGAGTCACACTATCATGACGCACAAACCATTGATTGAGTAGGCTATTGATCGCATTGATGTTGATTAGTGTTGATGATAGCCAAGACAATCAAATAAAAAGCAAAGTCTCAACATCATGCACAAACACAAATGTGATTTTTATATAAATAGTACATCAGACGGTAGCGGTACTCCCTTTTGTCATTAAAAAGATGTTGGTACATGTAAAACACTATGATCTAATTCTGTGTATTTAATTTAAAAAACTGAACATGCTGAACTGTCATGACTGTGTCCAAAGTTGCTTCACCTCATAGTTCGCTCTCGGCTCCCGCCAGCGGGCGGTTGCCCGCTCCCGGTCCCCACACCGTCCGCTCCGGTCATGGTCCTCTCTCCTTTCTACGGATGGAAATACGCACAACTAAAATACAATTCACCATTCAGTCCACCGCAGTCACCAAATGTAGCCCAAATGCGCTAATATCCGATGGTAACTTGTCATTTCGAAACGGTTTTTCTCCATCCACGCAAAACGCGTTTTGATGCACTTCCCGTGACCAAAGGACGATGTCTTGTACTTCACCAATATGTGCATCGTTACGTTATATTACGTAGGGGTTACCAGTCTCGCATCTCGTACTTTGGATCTTTTTCAACCTCGTAATCCTGACTGCGATCCCACACTATAGAGCTGAGCCTGAGGAGGGCGGGCTCGTGCGCCTATGGAAATCGGTAGCTTGCGATTGAAGTCGTATCCCGTAGACTTGTGCGTTATTGCAGGTTACAGTCCAACGGGCACAAACCGGCACACAGACACAGGGGAAAGATGCCAGTTTTGGGAAAACCCAATTATTTAGAAAGATCTATAAATTTAGATCCTCGAAAAATCCAGCCCAAGTTTTTTGAATAAAGAAAAATGGAGGGGGGGGCGGGACTAATTTCAATAACCTCAGATACCCTCACACCCAAGTAAACGATAATATAGAGTTGCTTCGATTGTCCTACCATCGAGATAGAAATAGAACTAACACAAGCTGAGGAAAACTGGACATTGACAAATGTGATGCCAAGACAAAAATCATATTTGAAAAATGGACAAGTTGAAAGGTCAAACTATATCACTTTATCAGAGCACTTCCAAATAAAATGCACACCTTAAAGCTAAATGCGTTGATCAGAGAAAAGAGTTTTGGCAGGTTATAATGAGGTGCCAAGGCTACTAGAGGGCAGGTCACGTTCCCAGATGTTGACTTTATCTGCTTTTATTCGTTCAAATTCTGTTGTTGCACTTTAAAACATTTTAAATACTGCAGAAGCAAGCAAAACTACACCATTTTAGGTCGCGTAAGAAGTCAGGACTTTATTTGGCGGGGGCAGAATAGAATTTCCATCCCATTATTTATAGGCTCATCGATCAAACAGGCTATTAATTAATCACTTCCAGAAAATTTGGCAAACATTATGCAAATCCACCATCTATTTTCGTCTTATCTTGATTTCTGTTCACTGATTCTATTTACATCCATTTGCCATCCAGATGATGCTTCTAGACCATAGAGGTTTTGGCATAGTAGCCGAGTCAGTTCTTTTCCGGCTCCACTGGGAAACCACCTTTGTGCCGGCATACCCTGTGGACTGATGGCCGGGAACAAAAATGCTGTTGATCTGCAGGATGACAGATGCCCTCCATGTCCTCTGATTGGTGGGTCTACGGCCCTGGCGTTATCCGTCCATGGCTGCTCTACTGCTCTACTACGTTCTCATCCACGGGCTCACGACCACGCGGAATTTCACAACTCGTAATTATGTTGGTATATTAATTATGCGGGGATTTCTTCAGGAGTTCCAAGCAGAAGTAAAAATTGCAGATCTTATAAAGCCAAGTAGCGGCGCAACGTTGGGAACTTGATCTGGACGCGCATAGTATAGAACGTAGGGGTGCATTGAGTCGTTGAGAACAATGAGATTCTTTAAAGTCATCATTATCAAATATAAATAATCCATTCTTGTAATACAAACACCAAATTCAATTAAAAAACCTTGCAATTTTGTTTGAAAAAATTATAAGCAATGCAATTGCAGCACTTTATTCTGAAATTATATGAAAAAGCTGCTCGAATAGAAAATTGTAGGAAAAGACACGAATTTGTTGTACTTGCTTTACTTTTGCATATTTTTATATTTCAGTATTTCAGTGAGTTCATTAAAAAGGAAGATCTACTATTTCAAATAACTGAAAATCTCCATAGAACCATAAGATTCAGAAATATGCATGACAATTAAAATTTCAGTTTTGGTTGATCGACGATAAAAATATTTTGATAAAAAATGTAGATTTTAAATTTATACACAAAAATACTGACATTCTTCAGCCACTTTATAATGTACTTAAAAGAAAAAATGCTGCCTTAAAATTACAAATATGAAATATCAGCTTGTTCGTCTTTCAGTTTTTCATACAAATCACATCACATAAAGGCCTACTTGGCCATATTATCCAGCAAAATGCTAAAGTTTTGTTAAGTTATATGGGACTACAATTCCAACCACAATGTAATGCCCCCTACTAGAACTAGCGGTTACAAATGTATTTGGAATACACACAGAAGAGCTTTAATTACAATCACAGAACGTTTTAACACAGTACTAAGATGACTAACCCAACATGTTATTGAAAATCTAATATGATTCAGATTTTTTGAATATAAAAGTAAATATCCTTTCTAGAGATATAAACAAATAAGTCGCTTCACCTTGGTGAGCTACAGACAATTTTATTTTGGGGGGGGACCTCACCAGTGAAATGAGTTTTTAACAAAATGCAGAGTGTTTTAGGTATAATTGCCATTTTCCACAAAAAAATAGACAAAATACTCATGCATGGGAAATGTTTCTTGCAGTATCCACTGTTAAACACACTTGCACACCGTTTGAAGAAGCAAACACATAAAATAAAAATGTTCTGTCACGGCTACAAACTGCCATTCCCAAGATATTAGAGAAAATCATCAATATCGTTCTAGATTTTACCCAGTTTCAATAAAAATCGATGGAAAGAATAAATCAGGGAGCAAAGAAACTAATAAGGAATCACTTAACAATCTCGTTCGTTATCCAGGGGTAGTACAGCAGGAGTCTGTCCGTACATTGGGTTGTCAACGGAACTGATCTTGCGTTTTTTGTCCTTCTTTTTTGACTGTGAACAAGGAGCAAATTGTGAGAACAAAGTTCAACAAAAGGGAAAAACAAAAGCAAAACAGGTGATTGCGTAATATATTTACAATATTATATGTGGCTATGGTGCACACTGAGGACATATACGTAGGGCAAAGGAGTGGTTTGAGACCGAGATAATAAAGTCCTCAGTAACTGGTTCTCGGTTGAAAACCATGAACAGAAATCAAATGTGTTTGTGTCGCACACTGGTGACAAAGGAAACAATATAAAGGAACTGTATGAGTCAACGACAATAAAGTCTTCCGAAAGCAACCTGTCCTCAGTTGTAAACTGTCTGATGACACGGGACAAAAAAGTAATGCCACATAACAGGGTCCTCTGTTTGTAGCCTCTGGTCATTTTGAAAACCTAATAGATCAGATGTGCTGGTAATATACTCTGAGTACACAGGATGTAGAACAATTTAAGACAAGGACAATAAGGGTATGAGGGCAACTTGTGTCCTCAGTTGGTAACTGTGCACAAGTGAAATGTGTTCTGTTAAAGTGTTCGCTTGATCACAACCATCAACTATAGTCTACCATCTCGTAGGCTGATTGTGCTTAAATTTGGAATTCTAAAAGACTGTGTGATGCCCATTTTTAGAATTTTTTCTACTGGAATTTCAACTAAACACATAATGTCCAAATGTTTCCTGCTATCTGTCCCGCACTGTAACTACACTGGAGATGGGCATTATGGGTGGGAATCTGCATTTAATTTGAAAAACGTAGAGAAAATGTCCCACCCTTTCCACGGTGTCATTGAAAACTTTAAACACAGCAAACTGTATAGGCCTACAATGTAAATAGTTGACACAAAGTTCCGATGATGAATTCGCGGATTTCCTTTGAAATGACCGAGCAGTAAAGTGTTCTGAAAATCAGATTACATTTTACAGGCATCATTTGCAATAAAAAATGAATGCCAGATTACATCAATTTAAACGTCGAATCTCTAAAATTGACAGCTCCATTGAAACGTTTGGGAAAATCTGTAAACGGATTTGGAACTCTTTCGTTTTATCATCCCACCCGTAATGGGCATGATGCGTTTTTGTTAAAACAGACAAGGTGAGACAGAGATTAGTATTCAATTAGTATTGCAAGTATTCCAATTCCAAATTGTTCCTTTTTTATCCTACTGATTTTACTTTTGATTTGAATTTTGGTTGGTAGTTTCACTGTTCTCTTTATGACATCCAAGATGAAATTCGCAAGTGGATCTAGAGAATCAGATGCAATTGTGCTAGTTTATTTGTTAATTACTAAAAAAAAACACACATCCTCTCATCAGCGCCAAAAATTGCTTTCACTTTGAATTCAAAATTACATCATACAAACTAGCGTCAATTCCTAACTAAATCACAAAGAAGGAAAAAACTCACTTCATGGACTTACCCCCTCTCCAGCGAACATGCCTGGGTCGTAACCACTGGCAGTGAACTGGAAAAGACCAAAGTGGATGAAGAAATGAAGAAACATCGTTGGAGATAAAGGAAATTGAACTGTGATTTTTATTTTGCTTTATTCATATTCTTTATTCGTGGTCGTAACCACTGGCAGTGAACTGGAAAAGACCAAAGTGGATGAAGAAATGAAGAAACATCGTTGGAGATAAAGGAAATTGAACTGTGATTTTTATTTTGCTTTATTTATTTAGCCGGTGAATAAAACGCAGAGCCTTTTTTTTTTCATCTCTACCTTCTAAGATACCCATTTACACCCATTTCATCTACAGGCAGGGTACCTGGATACATGAATACTCAAAGGGGGGTACCCAGGCATTCCCCTGCACATGCCCACCCCTAGTGTCAAACTTACATCTGTTAGAGCAGTTTCGCCAAAGCCGTCTGCGCCATACGCGGGGTTCTCCAGTCCCATCTCGGTGGTTAATCCTCCGAAACGTCTGTAGGTAGAGAACAGAGGAGCGAATAAGAAAAAAGGAGTACTTGGGTTCGGTTGAGAGTCTTTTCAAGCTACTTTTTACCGCCAAAATATTAAGAAGATCCGGGGTGGCCTTGTGGTTTAGATTTTATGACTCAAACGTAAAAGGGATGTTATCTTTAAGACAAACAAACAGCGACACTGACAGGATTTGCTAGTGACAGGTGTTAAAGGTCAGTGATCTCATCAAAGTAGAAGTCGATGGCGTCCTGTCATCAGACACAATTAACCTTCAGCTTCATTTGATTTGCTTCCAAAAAAGTTCCCCCTTTCAAGATCGTGAATCAGCGACTGCCCCTGACTATGCCAAGCAAATTAAGACGTCTTACTTGGTCTGCTGGACCCGTTTGGAGTACAGGAAGGCGATGATGACCAGGAGAACCAGGATAAAGACGCTGCCGATGACGCTGATTATAATGATGGCAACATCTGCCCAGAGAAATTTGACGCACAAATTTTGGGACTTATGCTTGTCAAGTGCATTTCAAAATTTATTTGGAATTAAATGATAACGATGATACTGCTTTGTATGTCCATAAAAGCCAGTCCCCCTCCCACTTGATTTCTGGATCCACCCCAATTAGTTTACAAAAGGAGTGGCCGTCCCCCCACTCTTTTGCCATATTGTTCAGGGTCGGACACTGAATGCCTTCGAGATTTTGTGTTGGAAATGAGACGTCTGATGAAATTCTTGTGTATTAATGATCGTATGAAGTTAAATTTGCAGTAGCCTTGTTTGAGCAGTGAAAATTTGCTGATTTCCTCTGTTCCTGTAAAACAAATCGTGACATTCTTGCACCCAGGGTTTTTACAAGAATATGAAACCCATAAAGGTGATGCCAGTGCTGAATTCAAGGCCATCTTGATGGTCATTAGCTTGCAAAACTATTTTAAAGCCAGACTCAAGACCTTAACTCTGGTTCACGCAGTAATTTTTTTTCTGTCAAATCAATTCAGCACGTAAAACCGAACGTGAAGTTGATATTCAGATAGTGAAGAAATCAGCAGGGTATAGTTGTGTCGATAAAAATCAGTTTATTATACGTCAAGAATTGGTACTGGCTTCTGTGGACATTAAATGACCGAATATCACTTTACACATCTTTTACACTTTTGGCTTTATCATGTATGTCATTACTAACGTCTGTAGCAAAGATATATGTGGGGTATATATCTTAAGGAAACCTCTACTAGAAATATTTTCAACAGTTTATGTTGCACTCTATGCTGGCAACATGCTGTGCGGCGTCTTCATCTAAGACTACTGCATTCGCAAGTATGGAACGCTGGCTACGGCTCTCCACCACGGTGAATGCTTTGATCAAAATTCGAAGCCATAGTCGTAAGAAACAGGATCGGAACATGGCTACCCCTGTCAAGCACCACAGCATGCAATCCCATGTTAACTAAATTGATACACCTGCAGTGCACATATGTGGGATAGACCCCCCCCCATTCTCGGCAGGTCTTTTAATGGGGTGGAGCTTACTGAATCACTGTACGAATGAATCAGTCTGATGCCTGATGGTCTACCAACTACCCCCCAACCCTGAAAATTAATCCATTGCTGTTGCATAGTGTGTAGAGGATCCTTCCATCTTAGTTGAAATGTTAGTCAGTACCTTGTTGGTCATTTTCCCCTTTTTGCCTTTTTTCACTTACTTGACTGGTCATTTCGTGGACTGGGTGTTTCCTTAGGGGGCACTGTTGATGTTCCATTCCCTGTATGATAGGCAAAAGGGAGAGAAAAAAGATTTGAATGCAAGGTTGAAAGCGTAATTCCTGATTGGCGGGCAAATCCCCCCCCCCCCGGTTTTTTGCAAGCCATGATTTAACAGGAAAACTTGGACACTGTTAGGGGTGTGAATATAGTCAATGCTGTGCAGCCAACCCTTTGAAACTGCATTCACTGACGTGCAAGAGGAGTTTCCATTTGTTGCACGGGCCTCGGTGTGAAAAATTTGCATGGAAGCCAAAGGCTGGTTCATACTTGGGCTGAAAGTGAATGTGGTAACAATTTTGTGGATTCAAGTGGAATATAAAGGCTGCAAATTTCCACAAATTGCACACATCTAAACAGACACAAAGTTTTGCTGCAATTGTTTCGTGACCTCCAATTCACTTTGTTTCAACTGCAGTCCCTGAATGTACAAAACGGCCTTGACAGTGTCAATCCAGTCCGACTGTTCAATTCACAGACCTTCTGTTGGGGCAGGAGTCTTGCACGGACAGATGTTTTGAACATGAAGCGTGGTAGTCAAGACCCTTTACTGAACCTTTCACGACTGAATTTACAATGGAACGTTAAGATTAAATTCTAGTCTGATGTTCACAAAGAAAGACTAGCAGGGCTTCAGCACAGCTGTTCTTTTAAGGCGCTGGCTCATACTCGTTGCGTATTCACTGTGTACGCAGTGCGAAGGTCTATTTCAAGGCATCTGCAGTGCGTGAATGAAAGCGCAGTGTGAAATGAAAATACGTGCCCTTGCACGCAGTTTGTGAAAATAATGGATAGTGCGTACACACCAAATGTACGCATATTTGGACAAATTAAAAAAAATTTAACTTTTGTCGGATATGCACACGCAGCCGAGACTTGAGAAAACATGAAAGTATGAACGTCAAATGAGGCGTTTACATTACGTGCTGCGTGCGTGCAAACGCAGCATGAACCAGCCCTTAGTCTCGTGTTTGCTTACAGCAGTTCTGCTCGTCTTCTCCGTCGCTGCACTGCTCACGGGAGTCGCACACTGCAGAGAGAGGGATGCACTTGTTGTCGGCGCTGCACTTGAACTTGTCCTTACCACAGGTGACCGGCGTCACGCCACTGACAGGCGGTGCACTGGTGGTGGGTGGCTGCAGCAGGCCATCGCCAGAGACCTTACAGGCCGGCGTGAAGCTCACGTCGTCCACGGCGATGTTGCCATCCGGACTGTTGCCGATGGTGGCTTGCAGGCCGATCTGTGCCAATGACAAGGCAATGTGTCTGTTTCGCACATTTGGTGGGGGCACATAGAGGGGGTGGGGGAAACAGACCTCAAGAGGGGAGGAGAGCTGTGCCCTCCCCCCTTATTGTGCCACTGGACACAGAGTAATTGTGTCATGCCTCAAGCCACTCATCCCCCACAAAGGATAACTCGGGCCAAGAAATCTTTTGAGAGATATGAAAACTTTGTCAGCAGCAGATCTTTGACTCTCTGAACAAAATGGACACACACCACCTTCGTATTCAAACAGATCCCTCCCCCAAATAACTCCCCAAAGTCTGATACCTGGAAGACTCGGTTGCCGTTTGGCACCTGGGCTTCAGCTCGGAGCCACCTGTTCTCCTGGCTACCTGTCATGGACCAAACCACTTCTGCTTTGTAGTTACTGTCCTTGTATTCACGTTTCAGGACCTTCAGATCCCGAATGCCGGTGCCAAACATAAAGTAGAAGAATCGGATCTAGGCAAAAAAATAATGACAAGAAAAGAAACTATCATTATGTATCTTACGAAATAAACTATAACTACTCTCACCTATGTGCTCTGCATTCTTGCATTTTCCACAAGTGACAAAAGTTGCAAAGCACGGACCCCTTGTGAACATTCTGACGAAAAGCGGACGGATGAAAATTTGACTTTTTTGCAAGTCTCGGCCTTGTCTCCGTCTTCAGCTTCATCTCCAGTCACACAATTTAATGATTGCTGTTAGTGCCAAATGAAAATACTCCAGGATTTGGCCTTGTGTTGGACAAGTTAACACGTGCCTGAGTGACATGATGGAGCTTCCCTTGAGCCATAAGGGCTCAAATCTCGGGACTAAATTCATGGAATTCCTGCATGAAAGCCCAATGAAGCCAAGATTCAAAAGAGCTTCGTTGGCTCTGTACCACTTAAAAGTGGGAAAGTTGGCTTGAGCACAAACTTTAGTACAAGGTTTGAATTCCACACAGAGGCAAAATGACAAATAGGCAGAGAAGAACATGGGGGCGAGGTATCAATCAAGCATGGACGAGGGGAGTCGGGTTGGGTTATTTCCTCGCTTTCCATCTCTGTGGTTCGGGTTCGATTCCTTGCCCAGTCTACGGGTGGATTGGGTTTTCAGTCCCTAACTGATTCCATAAGTTTTACCCAGAATTTTCTTCTCTGGGGGTTTTCTTCCACCTCTAAAACTGTAACTCCTTCTCTATAAATATTATCAGGCTTGAGGGCTACAGTGCCGAGGGTACTTTGGAGGAATCCTTGGTGTCGTTACCAAAGTACACAAAGACAAAAAGGAAGGGGACCACTCCCTTGCTCCCCACCCCTCCGTCCATTCATTAATCCCCAACCCCCCTTTTGTCCTCCTGCATTCATCGGAGCTTGGCTGATTCCTTCGCCGGCCGGTTTGTCCCAGTCCACCAAAGGTTCTACTAGAATTGAAGCGTCAGGCCTCCAACTTTTTTTCTGATTTATGTACACTGTGGCCAGCAAGCAGTCTGCGGCACTTTTTCAATTTCTTTTGCTTGTTTATCCTTTTTGCTCCTGCAATCCACCGATCGTCTCACCTTGCAGGTGTCTCCCGCTGCTATTGTGTACTTGTTGCTGACCAGGTTCGCTGTCTTGCCGTAGTTTTCAGGCACAGAGGCGGCGTACAAGTAGGAACCTGCAACGCAACCAACAAGAATAGATGTTAACAAGATGAGACACTTCCAGGTCACGACGTGATGTTCCAGTTGGCAGTGGGGAGTCTGTAGTCTGAAGCAGAGGCATGACCTGTACTGTGGTTTTTGAAAGCTCTAAAGATGCGATAAAAATTGGACCTTTAGGTTTTCCTACCATTGAGGAGATTTGTCTTCCTAAGTGGTTGAGTCTTTGTTAATGGGACTCCTGGCCAATGCTAAAATCATTTGCCCATGTTCACCATGTTGCTTACAACATTACAGTAGCAAAACTGGGTACCATGGTTGTTGCGGATCCTTTGAAGAGGAATTGACCTTGCTATAAACTGTCCAATAAACATGATGTATTAAGGGAACAAACCAGAGCCAGCGGCCTGGCTTCGTCATCATAAAAGCCAGGCCTCATTCAGGTAGACCAGGGGCCTTGGGGCTTTTTAAATCCCTTGATTTGTCCAAAAAGGTCCTCCACAACCAGCCTCTGCTCTGTCCTGGGCAATCATTCCCTCCGAGTGGATTGACAGCTCCAGTCAGCTTTGATGCAACTTGTCTTCACGCAGAATGGAACTGAACCGTAGCTGCAGACTCACCTAGGGTGGGTGGAACTTACCTCTGGCCAGCCACCGACTAGTGGGCAGGACTTACCTCTGGCCAGCAACAGACTAGTGGGCAGGACTTACCTCTGGCCAGCCACAGACTAAACTGAGGTGAGTGGGACTTAAACGTGACAATTTTTTAAAGGAAGCTTGACTCTTTGATTAGTAACACCTTTACTGTTACAGGCTAGAGGCCGGAAGTTCAAGGCACACCTTCTTAGCAGTAGGATCAAACCACACCTGTAGCTTCAGTTCACTTTCAATCAGTGTTTGGCCACACAGAAAAATGGAAAAACTGACTGGAGCAGCCATCGAGCATAAGTTTAGCAGAGTTGTAGCATAGTCAGATCAACTGTCCAATTGTAGGGGGCTGACCAAAAACAAGGGAATTCATTTGTTGAGTTTCTTGGAGCAACTCTGTGACTTTACTAGAGACTGTATGGGTAACTATAGATAAAAACTAGAGACTGGGTGATAACATTTAACTAGAGACTGGGTGACTATAGTGACTGACTTGTTAACCCGTTAACGCCGGTAGATGGCGATAGCCGTGGCTTTGTGTGAGGGTTAGTGCATACCACACATACATTCTATTCATCATGCACCTGTGGTTTAAATGTGGGCCTGCTGCTGGACAAGGCTTTGCATACTGGGCATACCACAGCGGCCCAGCAGTTGCAGTCAAAAGAATCCCGGCGTTGAGGGGTAAGGGCTCATGCAACACAGATTCCTGGCTTGGGCAACTTGGGCCAAATCGGGGGTAAGACCAACTTTGGGGTTTGGCTGATGCGTGGCCTTACCAGATCCAGTGTGATCCCCAGTTGGGCCAGTGTTGCTATTTGGGATCTTGCCCCTGGAGATTCTCCATGCAAAGGCGGTCGTGCCCGTTGCTTGTGTCCAATCACAGAGGCCCTTATCGAAGTTACAACGCTTGTAGTCCCCTAGAATTAGTAGCAACAAGGATATCATACACTGTTACTGATATGAAGGTGTCGAGAAATCTTCGCAAAATTGTGGTCGCAGGTACGCAATTGGGACGAATGCCAAAGTCAGGATCAACATCAAGTATTTGGGTTGCTTGAGTCAGCCACAGATCAAAGCTGACTCTATGAAATTGTGACTACACATTGTTGAGATCTTTGTAGGGTATGACAAAAACTTAATTTAGACTTTTCTCTTTTTCCCCAAATTGGTATTTTCGGACTAGTTTTTCTTCTTCACAACAGCATGAAAAAGCCTTAAAATTTAACCAAGGGGCAATTCCGTGCTAAAGTGGAGATTCAGTCACATTGTTACCGACCTAATTGTCATAGAAAATTCTTTTAAAAAAAAAATTTTGACACAAAGAAAAAGTAAGACGGCGGAAAAGATACGTGGTGTAATTTACTTTGATTCCATTTTCATCTTTTAGTGAACCTTCTCTTTGTGAATTCTGATTTTGTAATTGGAGGTTGGTCAAAATTGTGAGTTTCCAGTGGAATTGCCAATCACACCTAAGGGAGGCCGTGACGATTCCACAAAGAAATCTGTAACGTTTTAGTGCCCCTCCCCCCCAAAAAAATTGGGTCCTGGATTGGTTTGGGACTTTACCGCATGTAACGGCGGCCTCGTCCGTGAAGTCGCAGCAGTCCTTCTGGAAGTCGCACTCTGCCGTCTCTGGGTAGCAGTGTCCCGACTTACACTGCTTCATGCCAGGGCAGGTCTTTGGGATCTGGTAGGCGCAGTTGATGAAGCGGAGCTCGTCCAGGGCAATGCCCGCATTTGCGCTGGCTGTCTGGTCTTGCACTTCTACCAGGATCTGCGAGGTAAAACCAACATGTTGGCTGGTCTTGTAGTTGAGTGCTTTGCTGGTACTTCACAAGTACCTCACAAATACTTCACTAACTGTTTCACAGGTGTTTGACTAAAACCTCACCAATACACAAGTACTTTCACTAATACTTCAAAAACTTCAATCTCAATCAGACATTTATTTAATTTAAGGAAATCATTTTTCTTAATCTGTGGCAAATTACCGCAAATGACAGCAACTCTCTCCCATTCTGATTTGAGTCTGGTTTTGATCATGATTTTAATTTTTGTTGCTTTTAAAATCTCTTTGTGTTCAGTTGTTTGCTTGTTTGTTTGAAAAGCTCAACTCTTTGTTTACTTGTCTGTGGTTTCATTGTTTTAAAAGCTATTCTCTTTTGTCTGTTGTGGTTTGACTGTTTTAAAAGCTCATCTCGTTTGTTTGTTGGTTTGCTGTTTGATTGTTCTAAAAGATCATCTCTGACCTGGAAAGCATTCAAGCAGCTGGGCACCATCGCCTCCAGGTTGTCCCACTTGTTATAGGGCCCAATGTCATCCGACATCTTGGCCAGGAGCAGGGTGGTGCCATCCTCCATCCGGTAGGAGATGGTCAGGTCGCCGAACTTGTCGCCGAAGAGGTGGTAGTAGAGGCTGAAGGTGCAGCCAGTGCTGGGCGTGTGGAATGTTGGGGAGGCAAGCTGGGCCTTGTGGGTGTTCTGAGAGGCCGAGCCCGTGGTGTACAGGTAGACGCCAGGTGCTGCACAGGGGACAAAATGGGGACACGTTTCCCAGGTTAAAGGTCGTCTGTGCTCCACTCATCAGGCTTTAGCAGAGCAAAGTCAGTCTGTTCCGAGCGGGAACAAGTAAGGGCATGTGCTTACACAGCAAAGGCAGTTCTTCGGTGGGAACTCGTCAAGTGGGCGCACTGGTTCACATGCATATAGAACGTTCAGAACTGCGCACAGCATGAAGGGGAAAAAATATCATTTACCGTGCAGTTGTGACATGGCAATCAGACACAGCTTTGTAAATCCTCATGTACACTCTTTCACCATATTTTGCAACTTCCCGCTCTTTTTTTTTTCACCAAGTGAAATGCCACGTTCATGTGAACATGTCGAAATATCATCGTATTGCATCACTCCAACATCTAACTTTGAAGCCAGGTAGCTGGTATAGGGCGCAGTGTAGTTATCGATGTTGACACACGTGAAGTGGAAATAGATCTTGTGGGGGATAAACGTTTGGGGGTGCACCGTATTGTGTATCACTTATTTTGGCAGGTGGCAGTGATGTGGTTGAGTCGATCACAAGTTTGCATAGGCCCGTCATATGTCTATCGTCAAGCCATACAGTCTTACAGTAAAGTCAAACCCCTTGGATATGGATATTGACAGAGGCATCATATATCACTCTTGTAAAGTGAGAAGCGATTTACTCATGGCTGGACTTGAGACAGACTATGATGATGAAATGATAAAGGACCAACTCACCCGTGTCTGGGTCACCAGTGAAGTCGTTGGCGGGACCCTTGAAGTCATCCGGGGTTTTGCCCGAGCGCATGGACAGCTTGAAGTCGCCTACCTGCCGCCACTCGCAAAGGGTCTTGTCTTCAAACGTGCACCAGGATGCTGAAAAGACAAGGACAATATTTTGGGAGTTGACCTCTGACATTCGACCTTAACAACTACCCTTTGCGTGCACAGACTTCTTGCTTTTTACACACCAACAGTAACTCAGTAAATGTGCCGAAGTGATGTCAGGGTTTGAGTTTGATTTCGATTTTTTTTAAAGCAGGGACAGGGACATCTTTATTGAAATAAATGTGAGCAACAGTCGAGAAAGAATTTTAAAGGATGGAATCAATTGTTATATTCTCTCATGAATTTATTCTCCGTTAGTGCATGTTACTTGATCGTCCAGCTATCGCAGACAACATGGCTCTAGTTTCCCCATGATGACTAAAAGGCAATATTGGTCAACTCAACTGTACAAGAGATCTTAACAAAAAACTGCAAATTCGTAAATCAAAATATTCACTGCAATCATGTCTCTAAGATCTAGCCTTCAAAACGCATTGAAAAGAGTTCCTTAGGACAAATGATGGAACGTTATTAAACAAATCGTGGTGTTCAACCAAAGCAGGCCAAGTGATTTAATATGTTATCGTCTCATATAAACTGCTAAACTCGTGAGACTTCAATTGCAGTTTCTCCAAGCTGTGCACAGCAAGTTTTGAACAGACAGATGGACAAATCTTTATTGATGTTTGTCTTTCAACCAGGGTATGAGTTTACAAAGCAACTAGATCACAGCTCGAAGATTCTGATAAGCATTTGATCCATCTGAAGCCAACTTTTGTTTCTCTACGAAAGCCTTCTAGGAACTTACGGCATAGCCTTTCGTCAGAGCTGTCCGGACAGTCCGGTTTGAAGTCGCAATACAGGGCCTGGTCAATGCAGCTCCCGTCGCTACAGCGGAACTGTGACGTGCCGCAATCTGGGTGAGCTGTGGACGAAAACGGGCAAGAAATGATGAGCTAGTGTTCCTTCTTGATTAGTGGAGAGACAGGCTTGTATCCACAGTGTGCTTGGGCCATTACTGCCGGGGCAGATCCGGAGCGGTGGGGATGGGGGCACATTCCCCCGTTTCCACCAAAAAATAAAAAAAGAACAAGGAGGGAGAAGAAAAAAAGGGGCCATACCGCCTGATTGCACCACAGAGCGCCGAGAATCCAATCCAATCCTAGAATCCCTTACTAGTGAGCCCAGGAGCCCACGTTGTATGTGCGTTGTGCTACACGCTCCCTGGCATAGTTCACGCTCCCTTTTGGAAAATAATGGATCACACCCCCTCTGTGGAAAATCCTGGATCCGCCCCTGACTGCACTTTCTTGTTAGGAAAGACAAGAATGAGTTGTGCGCCAAATATTTGTCCCTGTGCATTTCTTTTGGGGGGGTCATCACAATGTCTGTTTCAACATGTGTGCTCTCCCTACAACTAGGTAGTATGCACGTTCCTGTAATATACTTTCTGCTGTAGACAAACCACATACACTTACAACTGAGGACTAACAACTGAGGACATGCATAGTTTCCTTTGTTTTACTCTTTGTTTCCTTTGTGCTCTGTCCAATGTAGCAAAGACATGCACAATAGAAAATGCGCAGCCCCTCTCCCATGTAATATAGTTGATCTCAACTATGTGTCTGTGTGTGTTGTCGTTTTTTTATAGAAAGGGATTTTTCTAACATTGGCAGCAATGTCAGAGTAAATTAGGGTAACAAACAAACAGAAATGGCAGAGAAATTGAACCAAGAAGATTTTACAAGAAGAATCCAATTACGGAAAATTTGGAAAGTGGGAGCGGGAAAGTTGGGACGACTTCCTAAAATCAAAGTACCCCTAAACGTGAACACAGCTGAAGTTCATCTCCATCGCTGACAGTTTCGGTCGCCAATTTCAGTGATCTGAAAACATTTGCTCTGGAAGTACCAATTTAAGTTCCCTCTGTTTTATTTTTCTAAATAGTTGGGGGTTCAAATTCCCACCCGCTCTTCATCTTTCAACTGCCCCTAGTAGCTGCGCTATACGCTGCTTGGCCAAAACTCACAGGTCGGCTTGATGTGGTTGGGCAGAGTCTGGTCTGTGTCAACCTGGCATGCCTTGGTGAAGGAGATGTCGTCGATGGCAATGTTCTCGCCGGGTGGAATGGCGCTGGACGTGACTGCCTCAATCACAAGCTGTCGATCAAAGACAAAATAAAATGAGGAAACGATTCCAACAAAGAAGAGAAATCCCAGCACTGTGCCATTAAGGATGTTGTCTCAAGTCGGACCGTTTAATTTAGAAGTGCATGGTGTTAAGTAGTGGTGCGTATCCAGCATTTATCTGTGATTGTTCTTGGTCAACGAATACAGTAATTTCACACCGAGGTGTAAACAACAAAATGGCGTCTCATGTGGCTGTGCAGTTTCTACTGAAAACTGAGATGTTCATCAAAAATTGAGATGTTGGCATTTTTGAATTCAGCAGAAAGAGAACTTGCTAATGGTGTAAAACTTAAGGTAACCTTAGGGTGACAAGGTGGCTTTATTCTGGCAGCTTTGCAACTTTGTGTTTGACATAGTTTTAACATTTATGACCAGGCACATATAGTTATCACCAAAATTGATGCAAAAGAGACATTTTTGACAGCTAATCCTGCTCAAAATCTGAATTCAAACAGAAGGGATTCTCTCTAAATATTACAAAACCACAACCGACCCCTCCCCCTTCAATTTCTGACTTTGAACCATCATAATAGGAAATACAGGAGTGTGACTGGAAGCTTGTTTTGTCATCAGGACGGGCCACGTATAAACGTTGCTATTAAGCAAAGTTGAGTCTCACGGTTCTACACAGAATTTTCACTCATAAGGCTTGTGTTTTCCTGGACTGGTCAGTGATACCATAGGCCCACCAGGGTGCACTCGGACACCCACCTGGAACCTGGCCCCGATGGTGATCTTCTGCTCAGCACGCTGCCAGCCGTCAATCTTGCTGCCTTCCAGCTTGAGCAGGGACTCCGGCGCATCGATGATGGAGTAGCGCGTGCTGACCTCCAGCTTGTTGACGCCGATGCCATACATTCGGTACCAGAACCGCACCTGTGGGTGAAGAGATGGAGAGAGTGAGACAGAAAAACATCATCGTTCAGTAATTTGTAGCTGAGTTGTGATCAGGTCATCACAAGTCCATCAGAATTCCATTACAGCAGGGTCATCGTAAGCCGATCACCAATCGCCACGAGTGTGTCACAGATCAGTGTAAATCAATGTCTACTATCATCACAAACCAATCACAACTTGACAAGTTAATAATTGGGTAGATAAGCAAGTAATAACAAAGTGATCACAGTGTCAGCTGGGCTTTTGTAAGTTGATCACAAATTACCACGAGCATGTCACAGATCAGCTTAAACTATTATTAGTCATCACAAATCAATCATAAGTCAAAGCTGGTCATCAAGAGATACCAAAAGGCAACTACAAGGTAGCACAGGTAATCACATGTTATCACAAGTGATCAAAAGTCAATCACAAGTCAAACATAGATTTCACAAGTCAGTCATAAGTCTCATTTATGTTCAAGGACGGATTCGCACTGGGGAGATGTTAAAGATTTTTGCCGTGCTCGACGTGTATACTCAGTGTTTGCCCTGAAGGCTTGTTAAAAAAACCACAAGCAGGTTTTCACAAGGTAATCACAAATCAAAACTAGTTTTCACAAGCCAATTACAGAAAATCACAAGTGATCAAAAGTTGATCACATGTCATAACCTGTCATCCCCTGTCCGAAAAACTTGTCATCACAAGTCATTTCTATTCGATGCTCTCCAAGGATGGACCCAGTAACTTGAAAGAGCAAGATAGTTCCACTCACCACACAGGATCCATCCAGGGGTGGCATTTTGAAGATGACACTGTTGAGATCGGCCCGGTTACCCTCGGTCTTGTCGGCCAGGTACAGAAAGCTCCCTGGAAAACATATTGATAGAGTGTGGGATTTAATTAATAGCTCCAAATTAAGAACCCATCAGGTGGTTACAGTAGCTGTAATGTACTCCAAAAAGAGGATATCTGTGGTCCCCACACTGGATGTAACAACCTGGGTGCTATGCAGTTTCAGGCCATGTAACCTGCTCTCTGGTTACAATAAAATGGGCAACAGCCTGGGTGCTATGGCACCTGGTACCCAGAATTAGGCCACCTACAGTACCCAATGTCTGGTTACAATAATATGGGTATGAAACATCGAAGGTGTTATGTTACCTAGTACGACATAACAGGCCATCTGCGTATAACATCAATGTACAATAAATTCAGTGGCAACTCAGGTACTATGAATAGTACCCAGTACTTAGTATTAAGTCATCTATTTGGCTGAATCCCTGGCTACAATAAATTGGGTAACAGAATCAAGTAACCTGTTAAGACCATCTAGGCATCTGGCACCTAATAGGTACTAAGGTGACAACCTGAATGCTTTAGGCCACACCCTGTAGTACCCAATGTCTGAGTTTATACAGTTGTCCATGATAGGCAATTGACTACACATGCCTAAGTGTAATAATTTGCAGGCAGGCGACTCCAATATCTCAAGCATATAAACAATTGGTTTTCATGCCGTAGAACTTTGCACTAGGTCCTATGCCGTGGGTGCCTTACCGAAGAGTGTGTTTGTGGTGTGATCGTAGAAGCCGACTTGAGTGCCCTGGTCTAACATCCAGTCTGTGTCGTCTGTGCTGGATTGGTTGTAGTTGCACATGCCGTTCTCGAAGTCACACCGCTCAACAAAGTTATCTGAAGGGGGCAATATCAATACATATATAATTGTATTGACTGGTCAGTAGGTCACTAGTTTACATCTGTTGCCCCCACAACAGGTCAATATCTAGCTATGTGACCTGATCCGACAAAATGAGTCTTATGGCAATTTCTTTGATAGTTGTGCAGCATGTGACAGAAGAAACGAACTGAGCTGTTTTGATGTCTGACATCATGTTGAAAATGGACGTCAGGGAGGGTGGAAAATGTTAAGGGTTGAAATTTTGTGCAAGACTCTCTGAAACTCAAATGTGGCTGTGGTGTTGTGCAGCTTGTTTTGTTAGGTTGGGTCACATATATGAGTGTTGATCAGTTATAAGGTCACTAATGCATGTACGTACATACATACATGCCCCTTGAGATTCTGTTAGCATCATGCAATGGAGTAAACTATACGAGTGTTGCCAGAAATTGTTTTTCCCTATGTCAGGTAGTTGGTCACTTACCGCAGTTGTCTTCGTCGAAGGAGTTGCCGCAGTCGTCCGAGTAGTCGCACATCCTGGCCTCAGGGACGCAGACGTCGTTGCCGCACTGGACCTCACACGGCCAGTCCTGGTCCAGGTCGCAGTTCTCGAAGGTGATGTCGTCGATGGACACTTCATCGTCCAAAGTTACGGATGCCTCTATTTGCAACTGGAGGGAGAGAGAAAACACGGTCAGCACTCTCAGACTCTCCAATGGGTTGCTGTTGTATCTCCCAATAAGGGAATTTGAGCAAGGCTGTGCTCATGGAGACAAAAAGATCCCCCACGAGCCCCGAGCCGGACCAAGAGAGGGCGCAATTTTCCTAGCAACGGTGGCTCCTTTGGTGGGAAATGCACCTCGCCGGTTCGCAAATGACTGCGTCACGTACAGCCGCATGGCGGCCAACAAAATGAACACTCCCCACCAGCATGGATCTTTCCAACTAATGAGGGGGTGCTTCTGCTCAAGGCTGATGTAACTGTGCCACTCAGTGATTTCTGTCACTTTCAGAGGCTTCATTTTCAGAGTAATACTCTATTCAACCATTTCTGAACTTGAAGAGACCAGTTACTTGAGGATCTCCTAAGTTTTGAGATTTTGCATGCGGTTTATGTAAGTGTAATTTACAGTTAATTTCCAGCTGGAAAGCTAAGAGTTGGTAAACTTCACTAATCCTTCACCAGCTGCCAGCAACAAGGCTTAAAATGCTGCTCCACAAAAAAAAAGGTCTCAGTTTTCTTGCTTGATTTTACTGAGCAACAAATTTTTAAAGGTCAGGCTGGAAAGTCTTTACCACCGCGATTCCATGCACGATACATATACCTTGAAGGATTTCCTCTCCAATGAGCATGTGTATATAATGTATAAAGCTACTGGACGGGCTGTGATAAATAGCTGACCTTGAAGGCGGTCTTGCGTCGGCCGATGGTGATGACTGCCTCTGTCCAAGTGGTGATTGACTCGTTCTTCGGGAGCCACCACAGGTCGGCATTGTCATTTGGATCGGCGGCGTCCAGCACCCGGATGACCATCTTTCCTAGGGACTGCGACTGGAGAAGGGATTTTATTTGAATAGGTCAGAAGATGAACTTGTATCGAGGGTGGCACAAATACAGCATGCTCTGTGGGGAAGTAGTGAGAATAACTGGTCTTGAGGTGTAGGTCAGCTTGAAAACCATGTGACATGAAACGGAGGGAGGTAGTCAAGCTGACCTACACCTGAGGGCCAGTAATTCCCACCACTTCCCAGGAAAGAAACATGCTGTAAATTTGTTTAACAACACCTCACAAACTTATTGATGAGCAAATTTGACAAAATGACAAATTTAAGGCCAACGTACAACGCAGCATTCCGTGTGTCTGGCAAGGATTACAATAGATTGTTTTTTTTACGATTACATGCCACGGACTACATGTACATGTCTACCAGGGCGATTCCAGAGTGGATTTTTGGTGCTACGAGATAAAAATTACCGCGTGGCAGTGAGTCGGATACTCACCGGTGCGGGATGACATAACCTGCGCATGTATAAGTTCTACTTCTTGGATGCGTGGTGAAATCGGCCGATCGTGTGGTGAAATCAGCTGATCGCGAGGTGAAATCAGCCGATCGTGTGGTCACGGAAATCAGCTGACAATGCATTACAATTTGCTCCTGAATATTTACGACATGTAGTAATAAATCCCTGAAACACAGCAAAGCACTTACAGAATAGACGAACCAGAACTTCATGGTGCAGAGCACGCTGCAGGGTTGGAGAAGGGGACTCTCCACAATGGCCGGAGAATTAAACAGGCCAAAGCCCAGGTCAGCCTTCAAGGTGTAGCCTGGCCAATGGTAGGAATGGAAAACACAATTACATAAATGCCTGATGAAGGGTAGGAAAAAAGTCAAAGGGAAGAAGGGATTGACCTTGAGTCAACTTCAGACTGGACAAACAATGACCACATGGCCAGATGCAAATATCTTGTCAAGGTGAAATAATTTTATCTCCTACTGTGCCAAAGAGAACAACCAGAAAAGAACAGAAAGAAAGCCCAACCCTATTGGTCTTTTTTGAGAGCCCAAGAAACAAGCTAAAACAAGAACTGTAAAAGCTAACACCCCAAGAATTAAATAACCAAAAAGCAAGACCCAAAACCTTAAAAAAAATCAAACCCCAAAGGAAAACAAAACCAAAACAAAGACAAAAACTCAAAACCCTCAAACCAAAACCTCCATACCCGAAATCCCAAAACCGAAAAGCAAAGCCAAAATACGCTGAAACCCTAAAACATGGAACCGGATCAGACTGGACTGGAAATCAAACGGCCCACACCTGACCTATTAAATTTTGATTTTTTCCTCTGAAACCTACCACTTCCTGAGGTGTGATCCTGACTGGGCGTTTCGCTTGAGGTTGGCCGGTGTCGGTGCCAGGCAAACTCTCCCGTGCTCACATCGGTGTAGCCGCAAATCTTGTAGTCCTCAAAGTCACAAGGACCTGCCGTGAAAAAAAAATTAAATCAAGGAAAAAACATGACAGATGCTCCTGATTGGACAGAAACAATATTCACAAAGGTGCTAAGCGGAATAGCTACATACAGGTAAAACTGGGTGGACGACTAGCAAAAGCAGCATGCAGCTCACTGCGTCTTGGCTAACAAACTTATATTTTGGCTTACAACCAACTTAGCAAACTTTTGACAGCTTAAAAAAATTGTTTCTGGTCTCAAAAGACTTGATACCCATCCCCTGTTTTGAGGTTTTCCCAGTGACTTCAACTAACAAACCCCACCCCGGGGTAGTACCATGACAGAGGCAAGACTCACATACCACAGTTCTGCTCGTCATCGCCGCTGGGGCAGTCGGAGACCCAGTCGCAGATCTGCGTGGTGTTGATGCAGTCGTTGGACGTGGTGCACTGCCACTTGCCTTCGCCGCAGGGGCTGATCGTGGGCTTGTATGGCACAGATGGGAAATCATCTGCAGAAATTCATGGGATGGTAAGTAAAAGAAAAATGGGGTTATTATCAGGATAATTACTAACGAAGTATAGGATTGTAGATGACCTAGTTTGAGATGGCCACAGTCATTTTCCCGTTACGGAATGCAAGATTTTCTCCTTGGGTGTTCCGTTTTCCTTTCAGGTGATGCCACCTGATGGTTTCCTTTATCCGTAATACTCTCTCTTCTCCTGATAACCCTGACCCCCAAAATGCCTTTTAAACCTGTTTTATTGAAGCGGGGGAAAACCTTGTTTAGACCTGACTTTACAATAGGTTCACAGAACCTGCATTGTGTGGACCTGTTTTGTTTATTGGGAGGAACCTTTACGCCTTTAAATGAAAAAAGTTCCAAATCCGTTTACAGATTTTCCCCAAAGTAAACAAAAAAGCTTATTTTAATAGAGGTTTGACATTTCGATTGATGCAGTTTTCACTGTAAACGACGCCTGTGGAAGGTAATCTGATTTTCAGGACACTTTACTGCTCAGTTATATCAAAGGAATACCATGACTTCATCACCGGAACTTTGTGTCAACTATTTACATTGCATGCAGTTTGTTGAGTTTAGGTTTTCAATGACACTGTGGTAAGGGTAGGACGTTTACACGTTTCATGGTATGGGAAAGCTTTCTGAATGTTTTTTGAATTAAATGTAAATTCCCACCCTTAGGTTTGTTCTCAGCTAGTCCACACAAAGATGGCAAGGTCAGCACACCACAAGTCCTTCACAAGTTCATCAGGTCGAAAGTCAACTTGTCTGTGTATCAGCACCGCCCGACCTGATTCTTTGGACAGGAGTAGTGGAATGGACGTGCAGTGGACTCAACCGTGATACTGCTCTGTGGTACAAAGCAGGCGAGGCACGGATACGGCAAGGACGTAGTCTGCATCTAATACGTAAAACCAGCCAACGCTCTGGAATGGTCTTTCCATGAGACATACGCAGGCTGGAATGCCTTGAGTATCGGTAATTTGTTTGTGGAGCCCTGCCCCTGGTTCTTTCTTATGTGCACTCACCTGTCAAGCGCTTGCAGTCCGGTGTGAAGGAGGTGTCGTCCACGGCAATGTCCCCGAGTGGACCATCCCCGGCCATACCTTCCAAGATAACCTAACATGGGATGACCATAAAAAATCAAGAGATGAAAAGAACAAGTGTTGACATTCCATTATGAAATTCATAGCGTCAGATTTCAAATTTCCCGAAACCCTTGGACTTTTTATACCTGGAACGGTTTGTCCGAGTCGAACTTGATGTCCACTCGCTCCCAGAAGTCGCCCGAGTGACCGCTGCGGGAGTACAGGGTGGTCTCCACGCCAAAGGTCTCTGTCCACGTCTTGATGCGGACGGTGCCCAGGTCTGAGCCGTACATGTAGAACCAGAGGCGGAGCTAAGGGGGGGGGAACAGCAATAGGAATGAATTGTATTGGGTCTCATGCTTGAGACTTTTAACTTGCAAAGTCTGGGCCAACTCTCCGGCCAAACTATGTACAGACTGATTTAGTTGACCAACCAGCAAGCTGGCTAGCCAGGGCCTACAGATGAGTCAAAGCGAGGCCAAGTGACCAGACAAACAATGAAACTCAATGATCAGCTGACACTCCAATGTTAAAAAGGTGACCAGCCTAGACTTACTGACCAAGTGTGAAGCCCGGCCAACTGACCTGCCAAGCAATCAACTGATTGTATTAGCAAACCAATCAAGGAGCTGGTCAGTAAGGGCTACCACTGAGGCAGTGTGAGGCCAACTGACCATTCCAACACCCAACGCAAAGCTAGATTAGCCAAGGCAGACAACGTAGCCCCAGGCTGACTAATAAAGTGACCAGCTAGCAAACCAGCCGCCCAGCAACTTTCCTACCTGGCAGTCGTCGCCGGACTGGATGGCTTGCAGTGGGGGAGATGCCAAGCGTGCCCGATCTTTGTAATTGGCAGAGCTGGAGTCGATGTAGATATAGCTCCCTAAAAAAAAAAAAAAACAGACCAGAAAATATGTCACAAATAGCAGCAGCACCAACTACTCCTTTCCCCAAAATTAAAAGTTTGGAAAATACCGCCCATTGGCATCTTTACCAACGACTCAGACCAAGAAATTATGTAATATGATTCAATATTTCCAAAGCAGGATGAAGAGTTACAAGTTTTATCTGGCGAATGATAACAATATATACGTGAACAATGCACATGCAATGCACTTTTGTTGCTCATAACTATCACGGGTTTCTGCAGAAATATTGTTTTTACTTTGGATCAGTTTGAAGTATGCAAAAAATTCAGAGGAAGAGAAGAATTTCCAAACATAACCACCATGACCTACTTCGGCCTGATTTTGGAATGGCGGTCACATTGTAAAAAAACCTATTCATTGTCTTACATAAAGTAGGTGCTGTTCTCTAACTAAGAAATACAGAAAAAAGAGACTATCAAACTATTTGTCCTTTTCTGGGGTATAGTGACCCAAATCTGATCTCAGTGGCCTTTGCGAAGAGACATTTTACTTGGTAAGGACTTCTTTATTCTGATTGGCTATGCGCATGTTGTGACTGTTCTTACTGAGGCTGTATCCGAATCTCTTTTCTAGAGCTATAGGTCTAGGTTTTCGCTCAAAATTGGAAATGCGTGGAGACGTGCAGACAATAGACCTAGCCGTAGTTCTGGAAGCCCGTTTCAGACACGGCCTGATTAGTTGCCTCTGGTGTGGTCTCATTCTATCAAGAGAGAACACTACCCCATCAGACTGGTCTTTTCGGCTGTGACCTCACAGTGGCCGATTGACCCTTCTTTGATCTGATTTGGCTTTACCCTGGTTGCTGTTTGTGGTGTGATCCCGGAGTGGTCCGGTTCCCCAAGCGTCGTCTGTGTAGCCCTTGGTTCGCGACCACTTGAAGGCGCTGTGCTCTACGTGCGCCCATTCACAGAAGTGATCTTCAAAGTCGCACCGGTCGTAGTTCACTAGAAATAATAGTAAATATCCAACCGAGCAAAAAATTAGAGGCAGTCGGGATGAAGCAATTTTTCTCTTCTTGGGTTGGTTTTTCAGTTGGCACATTTTTGTGTAAACGATATTATTTTTCCATGACCGGTTGTTTCTGGTGTGACGTCATGCTGTCAGACAAACATTGCTGTGGTGTGACCTCACAATGGCCCGTCACCTGATTGGATTATCAATGAAATAACGAACCTCAAGTACATCTTTGAAATAGTTCTTATTTTGGGGAGGAATTTTCCTCAGGAAGATGAAAATTTGTCAGGGAATAAGAAGTTTAATCACAACTACTCGGCGTACTGGCACAAAATCTCAGGCGAAAAAAAAAAGTTGCTTAAAAAGCTAACAACAGAAAAACTATGGCTACAAAGGCAGGACAGAGATGACAGGCTCTCTTTTTACACCCATGACAGGGAACTTTCTAGGTATGGTACAAGGCATCACGGCATTCTCGTAAGAACTTGTCGGGGAGGGGCAACCTTACCGCATACATCGTTGATCTTCTCGTCGGACAAGTCGCTGCAGTCATCACTGAAATCGCAGACTCGGCTCTGGTGTACGCAGGCACCACTGTCGCATTTGACCTCCGTGCTCCGGCAATCACCAGTCACAGGCTCTGTTTAGGCAAAACAAATTTTTGCTTTAGTGACCACTACTTTCTCGCTCTTGGTAATCTTTTATGGCTGTTCTTTTGTGCTGCTCAAGTTTTCTTTGGGATAAACTGTCACCCAAAGACAGAGACGCACTGAAGTGCGGCATCCTGATTACAAACTTATCAATTGGCGGTCAAATTTCGAGTCTAGTTACGAATTGCAGGGATTTGCAGGGAATGAGGACTGTTTCTTGCGACTCGCAAGAGTCGCTGACTTGTGATTGGCTGGTTATAAACTTGGGAAACCTTGGTCACAGATCTGCTGGGTTTTGAAGGGGCTGGAGCTGAGAATTCTGCTTACGTGGAATCTGGCAGCCCGTGAGGCTGACGTCGTCGATGGCGATGTCTCCTTCAGTCTCAAAGCTCCGGATTGCTTCGAAATCCACCTGAAACAAATATGTATTGAGCAATGTTACTCCAACTGGTTCTTCAAAATATGCAGCGTTTCATTCACCCCATAATATAAAGCTGTAATACTTCTGTCTAATAGATACTGTCCGTTTATTGGCCCAGAACGATCAAGACAGGGAGATATATCCCAATATCACACTTATCGTGAGATATCTCTTTCTGCCGATAATGCGTGCACGCGTATACGCAGGAGACAGAAGAGTTTTGGGAAGTTTGAGAGCACGTGGGACGCCATGCGGCCCTCGAGTGTTCAAAAGGTCATATCCCACAGCTGTTAAGTGAACTTCAACAGTGAAGGGCAAAATTGGTGAAAAATCACCATGTCGCTGAAAACCCTGTCACGCAGTCATAACTCCGGTTCAGAGATTGAGGGAGTTTACTTTTGTTACAAGTTAAAGGTGACACTTTGTTTAATAAAAAGGTGGAGGTGGTTCCACTTTAACGTTTAGAACAATGTGCTGCTTCCTATGTGTGAAAACAGAGCCCTGTTTCAGGCACATAGTCTGTTGGGATTGTGGGCAATGCTATTTATTAAGTGTTCTTTATATTTTAAGGGTATCCGGGTACCCGGTACTGACATAAAACGGGTACCCGGTTCCAAAAATACCTGTAAACGCACACCCCTATCCGCCCCCAGCTGAAGTGCACCCCCAATCGGCCAAAGAAAGACAGGAGGCTACAACTGGGTTCTTGCACGCGTTCTTGGTTTACGCAAAGACCATATATGCCGGAATATATTAGTTACTCCTGCTCAGCGTGCTCCGCGTCAAACACGCATATGTTTGCGCACCTATGTGGTGAGTACCAAAAAACATGTCCTCTTTTTTTTGCTTGGAGCAAAGAAAACGTTGATTTTTGTTGCAGTTCATTTGGAAGCTTAGAGTTACGATTCGGCTGGACGACAACAGAGCTGTGAATCAACGGGGAAGTGCTTTGTGTAGCACTTGACTTGTTTGCCCTTTGACTTACGTCAAATGCGCCGGGGATGCGCCCGATGGGGGCCACGCCTTCCTTCCACTGGCCGCCCTGGTCGCCGCTGATGTGCAGCACCACCAGGTTGATGGTCTCCTCGTGCAACAGCACCCGCAGCTGGCCGATGTCTGCCCCTTCCATGTGGTACCAGAAGCGCAGCTCGCAGCTGGCCGCCGAGTTGTGCCGCAGTGGGCTGTAGAACACTGCCCAGCCCTTGCCTGTGTTGGCGCTGGCGGCACAGTACAGGTAGTAGCCTGAGAATACCAAAAAATGAAGCAGGGTGGTTTAACCCCTTCGCGCCGGCAAGCGGCTATAGCTGCCGTAAAAAATTGAGATCCTCAGCCCGCTTTTCAGCTATTATTCTTGGCCCACGCTCGAGCGAACACGGTGAAAGAAGGCAGACCCTGGCTCTTGTATATATGGTAATTGGTCTTTCCACGAAGCCCAGAAATGAAAAGATTGAAGACAACAGTCCCCGCTTCGAAAAGAGGCAACAGGAATGTGGAAGGCTAGGGTGAGTAGAGCCGCATACCACCGAACAATCAGCCTCTTCATTCAAAGCGTGCAGAGCTCGCAGGGCCACAAACCGAGAATTTGCGGTTTGGCAGGTGTCCTTTGTGGTCAAGCGAGGCTGGAATTCTTGGAGTCGGCTTTCGGGAAGAAATTCCCGTTGTCAAGGGGTTAAAGGAGGTTGGTCCGGTATGAGGTTTACCGAGACAACAATAATGAAAATGATAATAATTTCTTTTAAAAGAGCCCTCCGTAGAACCTAATCAGGGGGCACACTACAATCCAATTAAAATGTACAGAAAATTAAACATTAAACAAATAAAAATGGCACTTTATCCCCTCTTCAACTTGTTTCGGATCCGAGCTGTGCAGAAGTTAGATCCTACCTATCTCGCCAACCACATATGATCTGTACAGGGACAAGAAATGGCATATTTTTCCAGAGAGGACATTGCCCGGTGTGGGGGGCGGGGGAGGAAACTAGGCATGAAGGTCCCGCTTTGGGCATGCTCGGTGTCGGACACATGACCAATTTCTGTTGAAAATGGACAATATACGCACACGCACCCTGCGCCAACATTGACACTGTTCACGCTAACTTTCTTGTTTTTAACAGCTGGACAGTGCTTCCAGTCAGAGTGGATATCCAATGGTGTTTTGAATGCTTGAAAACAAAAAATGGTAGATTTGGTCACCACTGTCTTTCACAGACTTATGTAAATATACGCTGCATTTATCCAACAGTGAAAAATTGTCAAATTTGGACACTGCAGTTTGCAGCTGTAACACTGAGCTGGCTCAGAGGGTTGACATTCCGTCACTAGACAAAACACAGATCGAGCAAAAACCACTCGGAGCGGTTTTAAAGAGAGCTGCATTCCAAAAGTGGCAAAGAGACGGGTCAGACATTGCAGTCCGGATGGACTACCTGTCCCCTGACGGAGGGGGATGTCTGTACCTTTCTCTGACAGCGTGGTGTGGTCGTAGTCTGGGCCGGTGTTGGCGGCCGGTGAGGCGCCCTTCTGCCGTTTCCACTCAAATGCAGCCGAATTGACCTTGTTCCAGTTGCACTCGTCATTCTCGAATGTGCACTGCGTTCCTGGCAAAACAGAAAAAAAACCAAAGGAAGGGAAACACATTGAAGATTCTTCTGTAGGAGTGAAACTCTTTGAATATCTTAACGCCCAGAATCAGGATAAACATGAATAGTGTAATATGGCCGTTATAAAATAGCGCGCCACCAAGAGTTTGCAACGCGTTGGCCAATCACAATTGCGCGAAATTTGTCGACCCAATGGAAAGGGTCGACAAATTCCCCGCGTTATGATTGGCCAATGTGTTGCAAACTCTTGGTGGCGCACTATTGTGAATTGCCCGTATTCTTTACAGGTTCTAGCCAGAGCATTAATTTTTAAATCCCCAACGATCATCCGTGACTGTGGACAAAGCTTTTGTAACACACCACTGCAATTTCTGCGCTCAGAACTAGTTGATCTTTGTGCCCAGGTATATGCTTCAGTGATTCTCACGGCTTCTGTATGCACACAGGGGAAGGGAGCTTGTCAGGGAAGGGTTGAGTGTGTGTGGAGCTCTCAAGTGGTCGTGGGCCATGGCTCGGCCATGTAGCTAAAAAAAAGAATTGCTCTGTGACTTTGCCTTGGAGTGTAAAAAAAAGGGGGACGATGCGGTAAGAACTGTCACTGCAAATCTGGAACAATTGACTTGTGTGTGTCATTATTTATTTTGCTTGTTTTAAAGACTTTAGAAGTTTCAGCCGCAAAACAATACTGCTGGGACAACTTCATTGAGGGATTATATTATCGCCAATCGGTTAAAAAGTCTGACATTTTGGCTGAACAAATCATCACCTGGGGTACATTCGTCGTGAAATAATAACGGCGTCAGCTGGCCGACAGTGACTTACCACAGTTTTCTTCGTCGGTTCCATCATCGCAGTAATTGACAAAGTCGCACAGCTGAGCCTTGGAGGCGCACTTGCTGGAGTCGTCCTTGCAAACCGTGTCGCAGGGGGGTATGTCAGCTGCTCAGGAAACAACAGAAATGAGACCGAAGGAGAAAAGTTTGTCAATGTATTCCTTTAGGTGATTGAGATCACATGGCAGTGGGGCATAAAAATTTGCCTTCAAAGCATTAGGGTGTCACCTCTTGTTGGAAAGAGCAATTATCTATCAATTTGGGGTTCAAACAAGTGACAGTTTTGATAAACCTTTACATCCGTCCTGTAGAATTTGACATAGAAATATCATCAAAAGTGACTTCTAACCATACTTTTTTGTTTGGCAGGTAGTCACTTGATCAGTGTTAATTATAAAAGACACGGTTTTACACCACTGGCTGTAAGGGTTTCAATAATGGGAACGTTACATTTTTGTGTAGGGAATAGGCTTTGGCATTGCAATACGGCCGTTTCACAACAGTGCGCCACCAAGTGTTTGCAACGCGTTGACCAATCACAATGCACGAAATTTGTCGACCCAATGCACGTTTGGAAATGGTCGACAAATTTCGCGCATTATGATTGGCCAGCGTGTTGCAAACTCTTGGTGACGCACTATTGTGAATCTCCCGTATTGTATGTACATTTTTAAATTGAGCCTTAAATTCTGTGCGAGTCCAACATCCAACTTTCCTATGATTGGTTTTTCTTTAATCATTGGCTGAAGAAACAAATCTTAATCATAATTTATTGGAAATTAAAGAACGTATTCTAGACTAAAAAAAATCATACATTAAATAGTAACAGAGACACAAACGAAATCAGGGGGAAAATTCACAAAATGGTCAACAGTTTTCTATTCTGTTCTTTTCATTGAACAATGTTTGCTTTTTGCTCAAATGCAAATCGTTCCATCATTATCGGCCATGTTTTTGTTTTGCTATGAAAGTGAAAAACAGCCTCTCCATTGCAACATTTTGATGGTGCTCTGTTTCATGAATCATGCAATCCAAGTTTCTTTCTGTCATTTTTAAAAATTTTAGTTTGTTTACCTGGGCACTTCCCGTCCAGGACCACGATGTCGTCCACCGCCATGTCGCCCGTGTGCGAGGTCCCCACGATGCCCTCCAGCACCAGCTCGAACGACTGCTTGATTTCGGGCACCACACTAACCTTGGCCTGCCTCCAGAGGTTGCCCTTGTCGCCCGAGGCCGTGAAGAGGTTCTGGTCGGGCCAGATGTTGACGTTCATGGTGCCCATGGAGCCGCCGTACATGTGGTACCAGAACTCCAGGCAGTATTCCTTAGGCTCGAAGAAGCCTGACAGCAGGATGGCCGTGTCGCCCTCTTGGCGTGGCAAGGATGTCTCGATGTAAATGTAGGTTCCTGTAACGAAGACCGTTTGCGACAATCGCATAAATATCAACCATTTTCCAGTAAGGCCAAAAGAAAGTTTCCGGTTTCTGGTCAACACGCGCGTCGCTGTAGACCTGTGCATTGGCAAAATAAAAAAGTTTTTCATGTGGTATAAAAATGACGTCCAAAAGCTGCCAAACTTGCTTGACTGGAATCCTGCTACTGTGTAATTTTAACGTGTTTTGATGGGGTACATTTGTGTAATATGTACAGTACAGGAGTCCCCTCTAGGCCCTCATACATTCAGTAGGGCACTCTTTTCCAGATGACGTCATTTCTGTATTAAACAGTTACATGAATTAAACAGTTTGTCTGGGAACCAGACAAACGAGGTGAAGAAAAAAGCCGCGTCGCCGCACCACTTTTGGAGCCAGCCCCTGACCAGAACCCAGAGACATTTTTCTTTTAGGCCGACTGAAAAGGATTTTCCCCAGCACCTTCAGCACTGCAGCTTACAAGCCTGAAAGGAATCTGTAGAGAGGAGGCAAAGAGAAGCAGTTACAGTTTGAGAGGTGGCAGGAAAACCCCAGAGGAATATTCTGGGGAAAACCCACGGAATCAGGTAGGGACTGAAAACCCAATTCTCATGTGGACTGAGAGGCAATGGGTGAGGAAAGGACCACTACGCCAATCTGTCTCCTCCAACGGGGGAGGGGGGTCATACTTATGCTGCCCAACCCAACAAATTGAGCCGCAAAGTGCCAGAATCGCTTTTGTGTAAACATGCACCTTTATATAAGAGTTGCACAAGGAATCTGTACATACTGATTATCAATTAAGATAGTGAGGGTGGCATGGTTTTGTAATGCCATAAACCTCTTGCCTCTCACCGCTGTGGCCCTGGGTTCGAGTCCTGGCCTGGGCCGTACATGAGCAGAAATGTTTGTTGCTTCTTGCCCGTGCCACAGACTATGTGACAATGATGACTGTTGGGGGGGGGGCATGTGACCCTCCTGGGTGCACCCTCCGTTAAAATTTTGAAATGGATGTAACCTATGAACAATAAGCCACATTTAATCAGCTTTCAGTGCCCCCCCATCAAAAAACACAAACTTAGTATGCCACTGATAGAGATGAGTAAATCTTTCCAGATTCTGCTCCCAAAATCTCCTCAAAGTTTCACTAGATGCGGAAAAACGGGGGACCTGCCTGTGAGCATGTCTGCGAAACCTTACCATACGGACTCCCGAACGTGTGGTCAGCAGAGGGACCCGTCTTGGAGGACAGTGTGGAGCCCTTCTGCCGCACCCAGTCAAAGCCGTCGACGTTGAACTCGGCGTTCTTCCACGTGCAGAGGTCGCCTGCCTCAAAGTTGCAGTTGCCGTAGGGCAGGCAGGCGCCATCCCGCACCCGGATGTCGTCCAGGGCGATATCGCCTTGCCAGCTACTGCCACGGATCGCTTCGAAGACAACCTGATGTTAAAAGGAAACATTTGATTACCTCCTCCGCTTGTTCAGGTAAGGCGTGCTTACTAATGTGGGCGCGACTCTCTCCGATTTGACACTAATGCGACTTCTCGCTTTTACTCGGACTGGCCCGAATAACCAACCCGCTGTTTCAGTTACTAGGGGAGGTATTCCACAATGCAATGCAAAATGTTACAGCTTCACTTAATTAAATGACGCGAAGGAAAGTTGAGGCCACTGTAAACGTTCAGACCCAATTGGGCATCTCGATTTAGACCAAGATTGTTCATGTGTTATCACATGTTCGCTTGCTTTCCTAAACCTTTGACAACTTCATTGGTATGCGCGATGGAAAATATTTAACGCTCTGATCAAGGAGTGTACTTTGTGTAAAAGTGACCATGAACTTATGATGCCTGATTGAAAACTTGCACTCCAAAAATTGCAGAAATTAAACACTTCAGGCTCTAAAAATTGGGTAAACTGTCTCAGGTATTTATGAAAGCTGGTTTCCATGAGTATCCTGTCCCACCATTTGGAATCAATTTTGGACTTGAACGGTCAGATGCTCAGGTGTTTGATTCCAATGAACACCCTGATACCATTCAGGGAGCCGTACCTGGAAACTGGAGATGGACTGCAGAGTGATCTCGGCCACATGCCATTCTGGCCAGTTGTCGTAGTCCCGGGTGAAGATGGTCTCGTATTTGCCAAAGGTCTTCTTGTAGACATTTAGCGTGCCAATGTCAGTTCCGTAGTTGTAGTACCTACAAGATTCCGACCCCAAAAGTGAGAAAAAAGTTGTGAATGATGCGCTACTGATGGTTGGAACGGCGGATGGCATCAATAAACAACAGAGAATGAATTCAGTCAACTGTGCAACAGTCATTGTCAGTTCAAAAGTAAAACCTAGGAGACCTTGTGATTTGACTGAAAATTGGATGACATGCCGTCGAGGTATAAAAGAGAAAAGAGGCTTGCAAGAGAAATATGCAGGAAGTGAGTTGCCAGGGCCCGAGGCTGACATTTGACGCTTGTGTTGGCTGCAGAAAGTCACGCCGTGTTCATATAACTTGGCCATGACTTGAATACAATGGGCAACGGTTGAAGCCACTGGCTGGCTGGGTTCCAGCAGCCAATGCAACTGTGAAAGCTGCGAGCAAGTGGCTCTGTCCAACAGCCTCATGCATTATCTTCAGTCTTAGCCAAGAGATCTGGACAATTAGTCCTCGCTTGTAATTGTTAGGCTGCACCTCAATTTGTTGTCTAGAGCAACGCCTAGGCCTCCGCTTCACTGGAAATGTGCAGCGACGCACTGACAATGGACACAGCCGTGGCTGTGGAAGCCCATTTTGGGCACGGCCTTACAAAGCATCAAAGCGCCCTCTGTGGCATGTGCAGCAAGTCAATAGGGGCGTCCCATCATTACTCACCAGAACTGCAGGCAGCTGCCAGGTGTCTTTGAGTACTTGGGGCTGTCCATCCGAGCGATGTCTCCCGGCTGTCGGGGCGAGGACATCTCGGCGTACATGTAGTGACCTGGAGAAAATGAACAAATGAAAAACACAAATTAGCGTGTCAGGTTTCTCTGTTTTGGGCGGGTCCCGGGGGAGGGGGAAGGAGGGGAAGAGGGTTGAAGGCTGAAGTTACCTCTCGCCAAGTAAATAAGTCAATTCTTTATTACCTGTTTTACAAACAGGGTACGTTACGAGATTTTATATGGAAAGTCTAACACCTATAATATACAACAAGACTTTCTGAATCCTTCATAAATACGGAGGATAGGAATATGCTGTCTCCGAGAGAGTCTCACTTCTGGCCATTTATGGCCACTCTTTGCTGCTTTGGGCTGCTTAAATTGCAGAATTTGGATGTAGCCAATTGGGTAGGCATTTAAATTTTTCTGCATGGAGGGGGAAAACACCAAAAAATCAATGGGCCAAAACGGGATGGACTATTTTTTCTCACCAGAGCTTGTCCCGTAGGTGTGGTCATTGGAAGGACCGGTGCCCTGGCTTGGCGTGTGGCCCTGATGCAGCGTCCAATCAAAATCATCAGTTTTGTCTTGCTCATAGCCACAGAAGCCGTTCTCAAAGTCACAGAGCTCTGACAGACCCAATGAAAAAAGGTATTTATGTTTTTGCCCAAAGTTGAGATCTCGCCAAACAGAATTCTGATTACCAGGCAACAGTGTAAACACAAACTTGTGCAAGTGCAGGCAAAATTATTATGCAACAACAGGTTACCAGCCAAAATACCATTCAATGTACACTGCTTTTTGACTGGTACCACAGCTGACTTTTTCTCAGCACAAGCACTGAGTGTGAATTTCACAAAGAAGTTAATTTGTTGTCTTAATACGTTGACTGCCGGCTATGAGTGTACTCCTGGTAACAGGTGTACCGCATTCTGCCGCTACGGGTATACATGTTCTCGTGGGAAATGATAGGCTGTTGAAATGTAAATTGAATACACTGGTAGCATGCAGAACACAACAAAGTTTGCTGCTGGCAGTGTTGAGGGCGTACGTCTGCAAAATGCTCATGTTCAAATAGACACCTGAAAGGTACCAATTAAATATGCGTGCATGCGTACATTGCTTGGCGGATGGCAATACCCCTTTGAAATTATGCGCGGCAGTCAACAGGTTAAATACTTTCTAAAAACATTTGATATGTTTTAGAGAAGATATATTAAAAGATATGATTTCATAAAAATCATTTCCCTGTTTTGATTTGATTTGATCTGGTTGGTACCTCCAGGTGGGCAGATCCCCTTATGGAACTTCAAGTCATCCAACGAGATGTCGCCTTGATAACTTGGTCCAGCTGTTCCCTCCAGAATAACCTGATGGGTCAAATTCACAATTTGAACGGAACTGTAACCTCAATATTTATTTGATTACAGAAACTCGTCAAGCTCCTCACATGGGACTAAAACTTGGACCAAGTGGGACTCAAACTTAGGCTGAGCGTACTTACATGTAGGTTTTGTTTTTATTATACAAAGAAGATGTCTTCGTTCCCAGTGTGCAACACTTTGTATAAAAAAAACCAAAATGCATGAGCTATTAATGAGTAACAGTTCAAAATGAGTCACAAGTCATCAGAGTCATTTTTTAGTAAAAGGCCTTTAAAAGAATCTTGCACCATGGACGTCCATAGGAATTGTCGATATTTCCATCTACATGTACGCAACATCCATTTTCCCTCAGGAAAATGCGATACATCATAAAGGCCATGGTTCTTCATTATCCCCTTGCTTTCAAGGGTAGCTTCTGTTTCATCCTGGGCCCTTGTTCCCCTTTGAGTTGATTGACAGCTTCAGTCGGCTTTGATACAAGTTGCCTGCACACTGAATGGAACTGAATCGTGGCCACAGACTCACCTAACGTGGGCTGGAATTAAATCTAGCAAGGCCATCCAGAGGCCCGCCTTTGATTGGTAACACCTCTACTGCAAGGTAATTTAGGGTTAACAAAATGATTACAGGATGCAAGGTCCAGACATTGCCTGGCTCCTCAGTGGCACAGGGCAAGTTTGGACCTGGACTACAGTTCAACAAGTAGTCAACTGCTTTTTTAACAATGCATTTAGATGACCCTAGTCAGCCAATTTTTTAAATTTTGAAATCTCATCGTTACTTGCATTTCACTGTTGGCTGCAATTCCCACAGCGAACATGGTCACAGAAACCTGGTACAATTATTTTTAAGCGATTGGTTCCCTCCGTAATGATAAATGCAATCAGCCTCTGGTAACCAGTGGAGTGACAATGCCTCAGGGACTGGTTCTAAGTAATTGACTAGATGCTGCAAACCATCCATGGTTTGGGTGTTGTTATCCGCCCCCAAGCTGAAGTGCACCCCCAATCGGCAAGAGGAAAGACAGGTGATTACAAGCGGGTTCTTGCGTGTGTTCTGTGTGTACGCAAAGACCACACGTGCCGGAGTAAATTAGCTACGTGTACTCAGCGTGCTCCGCATCAATCGTGCATATACTTGCGGTGAGTACCAAAAAACCATGCCCTCTTTTGTTCCGCTCGGAGCGGATAGTCAAAGCATATTTTATAGTCGTCGCTCGAACATGCCCAGAGCCACACCTCTAAGTCTCTGGGTTTGCTCTCTGACCTTGTACTGCTTGGTCTCTTGGAAGTGGATCAGTCCCTGGTTCCACTGCGGACCAAAGGTCCCCATCTTCTGCCAGACCACGCTCTCCTTGTTGTCCGGGTAGCTGACGGAGTAGATGGTCAGCTTGTCTACATGGGAACCATACATGTGGTACCAGAACTCCATGCAGTAGCCGTCAGGGTCGGTAGACGTGGCAGCCGGGAAGTAGGCAGAGGAGAGGCGGGCGATGTTGTCCTGGGACTGTCCGCTGACCTCGATGTAGATGTACCAGCCTGAGGAAGCAACGTTTGGAGGTCGGTGTTGCAGTGGAGTACTTCACTAGTACTTCATGAGTGCTTCATTATTCTAAAGTACTTCACAAGTAGTTCACAGGTACTACCAAATTATTTCCTTCATTATTAGTACTTAATTATTATCTACAAGTACATGTACTTCTAAGTATGTCAAAAGTATGACCGCATGTTTCAGAAGAACTTTATAGGCATTAAATGGTACTTCAGGTGCTTCATAGGTACTTCACTAGCACTTCAGTTTTCTCCACTAGCGATTCCAAACCATACACAAACACGTATTTCCCGTTTTACTTCATAGACGTGGTACAGTCCTTTCAAGTGTATGGTAAAAAAAAATTAGAATAGCCAATACCCATGTGACCTACTCTCTGCAAATCAAAACAGAGACAGAATCTCTAGAAAAATGTGCAGTAGTGTGCCAGTTTACATGTACAGGTGTGGCACACATAGTGTGGACCTCTGCACAAAAGAAGTCCACATAATGCATGGTACGATAGCGTTGTGTCCACACAACGTGTTCCCGTCTCTGAAAAAGAGTTTCAGAGGCTTTTGGGGGTTAAGGTTATCTGTTGGGAAATGAAGGGGAACAGTCCAGGAAATCGTCGTCAAAAATCCAGCTTGAAGGAGTTATCTCAAAGGGAGAAAAAGGAGCATTTACTTTGACCACAGGAGAACAAAGGAATGTCCACACTTTGTATGTAAAACAAGTGTGTACGCGCGCTTGTGCATGGTACCTTGTGGGGTACCTGAACAATGGAAGGTACCCCACGAGGCCAGTTTTGATCCTTATGGGGGTACTCAATTGGTGCCCCACAAGAATTCGATATTTCAAATTTACTCAAAAAGGAGGAATTTTCAAGTGCCATTCATCGTCGCAAATTGAAGTGTTTTATATAAGGGACATACAGTCGAAATTTCAACCCAGGAAACTAAATTTGGTTGAAATGGCAGTGATTTGAAATTTTTACCGTGTTGTGTGAGAGTTTTTACACGAGAACAAAGGAAATACCCCACAAGTATACATTATGTAAAAGGGCACTTGTGCTGGAATGAGTCATTTTGAATAAAAGCAATATGTAGATATGAGTTGCCCTGTCATGTGCTGAATACAGTTGGGCTGGTGTGCTTACTTCTTGAACAGTCGTGCCTTTTTGAAATAACAAACAGGCTCACTCCTCCTCACAAAGTTCAGAAGCCGCGGATTGAACCGTGTGACTTACCTGAGGGGTCCCCGTTAGTGTGGTCAGCGACGGGCCCTGTGTTTGTGCTCCCTGTGCTGCCCGTCTGCCACCTCCAGTCGAACTGGTCGTCAGGGGAGGTGAGCTGGGTCCAGCTGCAGAAGCCGTTCTCAAAGTCGCAGTCGTGGCTGTCGGGAGCTGCCGGCCGACCAATAGAGGAAGAGTGAATGTCAACGACACTGAGCACCAGCAAACAAGGGCAGGCATGGTGGGGGATGTGAATGGAGCTCTCCACGAAGCCAGATCCAGAACCAAATTTAGGGAGGGGCAAAAATCGCTTGGGGGGGGCGTTGGGCCAAAAATTTCTGAGTTTTTCAAGTATTCACCTCTGCTGGCCTTTTTATAGGAGTGAGGCTAACTTTCGGGGCTTTGCACGTACCTCTAAGATAAATGGAAGTGAAAATCTCCCCCAAGCCACTTTCTTTCTCATCTAAAAAGATTTCTGCTCTGGGGGAGGGGGTCATGGCCTCTGGTTCCCCTGTCCCAATTTGCCAGTTTGTCAATGCTTTCCATTACCGCTTGTCTGTACAGAATAAGACACCTTAGTGTAAAGTGCTTAGATTAGCCACTCTAATTGTTCAAAAGTGCCAACTGTAAGAAGAAGTCAGCACCTACACAACCGATCGTTAATGAAAGGAGGAATGAACTTGTATATTTTCAACATCAGTGTTGTTGACAAGGCCATCACAAGACCAGTCACAAGACCATACAGACACAAGACCGGACACAAGACCGGACACAAGACCGGACACAAGACCAGACACAAGACCAGACACAAGACCAGACACAAGACCAGTCACAAGACCAGACACAAGACCAGATACAAGACCGGNACACAAGACCAGACACAAGACCGGATACAAGACCATTTAAAGCATCAGGGTGAAAACTCACAAAGGAATGCTTTTGTTGCAGTATATTTAAACAGTTTTTAATTTGAATCCAGACTGGAGTTTTTGTGTCAGTCTTGTGATGGTCCTGAAAGGTCCCAACTACAACACTGTGCTTCCTCTCTTCCATGGAGTCAGCATCGGATGGGTGTTTTACTCACGGTAGACAGGGGGTGGAGTTGGAGTGGTGGGGGGCGGCTGGGTGGGCGGGCAAGGACCATCCAAGAGCTGGATGTCGTCCAGGGCGATGTCGCCTGTGTAACTCGTGCCCACGACACCCTCAAAGATCACCTAAGTGAGCCGGCAATGAGGAAGAAAAGTCAGCAGTTGTCTCACGAAACATAGGACGACATCAAGCAAGTTTGGTATTTAAACAGTGCACACTGAAAAGGAAGTGTGTCAAAGGTCATTTGGGAACATCAATACGCACACAAGAGGTCTATTCTACCAGTGTGGCCATATACCAACTCACATGCGCACATTGCACTCAAATTGCCTTGCCTTTATGAAATATCAAACCAACTTGTTCCCCGCTATGATTTACAAAAATAAATGCGGCTATTGGCAAGACAAAGTTTTCCCATCCACCTTAAAACCATGGGAAATGTCAGGAAAAAGCTACAGGGGAGTTGCCGCTGGATTTTCAACAAAGTACCTTCTCGGCTTAAATGGCAAAGCTCATTACTGTAGTGGTTAGTTTTTGGACAGACACATGACACATTTTTTACAAGTACTTCAAAAGCATCCCATTCTAATTTAACTCTCTGAAATAAAAAGTGCTAGTGAGAGTACCTGTGGTGACTTGTAAAAAATACCTGTCAAGTGCTTACTGAGGGTGTGTCCAAATTACTTGGCTGTTGCTTGAAATTACCCAGCTCTCTATGTGAAGTGGCCGCAGCCACAACTATAGACTCATGTATAATTTCAAGCCACTGCCAAGTACTTTAGCTTTAGTACTAAACTACAACTCTGCAATTTAGGGGGGAAAAAATGGCAAGGCTCCAGCGGAGCCTTTTGTGAGCCCTCACCCAGAATTCATCCAGGGTGGACAGCGTGGCCTTGGCGTACCGCCAGACGTTGCCCTGGTTACCCTTCTTGGTCCAGGCCAGCTGCGGGCTGCTGCTGCTCCCTGTGTGCGATGTCTGGGTGTAGAGGTTCAGTGCGTTGACTGTGCCGCCGAACATGTGGTAGTAGAAGGAGAGGCAGCGGCCGGCCGTCTGGTCGATGTGCTCGCTGACCAACCAGGCCTTTTCTCCCTTCACTCTCGGTGAGGATGTCTCCAGGTAAACGTAGAATCCTGGACGAGGAGACAACCCATGGCAACAAGTAAGAAAAACATGCAGATGTCAGGAGATTCGTTTAGCATTTATATAACGAGATGTACTTTCTGCAACTTTTTGTGTCGAGTCTTAGGTGGCCTTCACCTACATAATAACACTGTACATACTTGGCGCTGTCTGAAGGCTTGACAAATATTCACAAGCCTACTCAGGTGGGACTCAAACCAATGACAACCACTTTCAATACCAGTGCGGTTGTCTTTACCACCTGAGCATCGAGCTTACCAGGGTCGGCTGGCTAGTTGAAGTCAGATATTGCAGGCCAAATTGGATCAGAGTTTTACACTGATGAACTGAAAATATGTTTGCTAATAAAGTAGCATCTGAATTACACTGAACAGTTGCTCACTTGGTGAATACAGAGAAAATAACAGAGTGCTGGGTGGTTCCAGGCAGTACAGTGACAAGTAAATTAATTTATGCAAATTTATGCAAAGACCTGGGAGAAATATTTGCATAACAAAATACTCAGAAAATTCAGATTTGAATTCAGTTTGTTGTGGTGGGTTGGGAGTGAGTGCTGGATTGAGGTGGGGGGGTGGTCAGAAGGGGCTGGGGTCAAGGTTGAGGAGGGAGGAGTTGTTTCTGACCCCTTCCGGTGCCCGTGGTGTGGTCAGTCGAGGGGCCTGTTTGGTAGCTGGGCGTTCCCCCATTGTTCCGCAGCCAATCAAAGTCGTCCTCCGCTCCGCGGTAGTTGCTCCAAGTGCAGGTGTCTATCTCAAAGTCGCAGTAGCCATCTGGTGGACATGCTCCATCCAGGACGTCAATGTCATCGAGTGCGATGAATCCGGACGTGGCCGACCCTGTTGTGGCTTGGAAGAAGATCTGATTCCCCCCCCCCAAAAAAATCAATAAATAAAAGAGACTAAAGCAAAGGCTTTCCTTTCATTAGAAATCTTTAGACAAGGACATCAATTCTCAAAGAATGTTTTGGTCTGCCGCAAAATTGACGTTTGTGCTCGTGGGAACCAACTGATTTTGTACAGAAAATAAATATTGCGACAGAAAGTTCAATTCGTCTCTGGATGAAACTTCAGAAGCCACAAATCTGCACAGTGGATGTGCACAGAAATCTAAAAAGAAATACCACCCCATATTCTATGACCGACGGGACTTTTTTCCAGGACTATAACATGACAGTTTCCGTGACATTTAACATTTTGCAGAGAACAATTGTTTGGCATAAGACTGCCATTATTACAGACTGCCAAGGATAGTCTGTAAATTTATCTGTTTTCCTTTATCACAGCAAAAGTGAGCCATCAAACTAACCCTTGGATGATCTTGATTTCTGTGACTTTTCAATGACTTTTCCTCTCACAAAGAGGACTCCAAGACACATTCTCTTAATTTTCCCTAACTTTTCCATGACATTCCTGGACAACGTTTTTTTCCAAGGAATTTTCAGGATTTTCTATGACCATGGAAAACTTGCATAGGAACTCTGTTCACGGGAGTACAATAGTTTTTATGTGAAGTTGGCACATGCAGATAAGTCTGACTTTATAGCGATCAAACACTGGCACATACCCTGAAGTCCTTTACTCCGACTGAGGATACGGTGGCCTTCTCGACCCGCCAGTGGTCATCCTGGTCGCCGGTCTTGCTCCAGAGCGGGTTGGCAAATGGGTCCCCTTCCTCCTTCTGGTAGACGGATAGCTTGCCCACGTTGTCGCCGACCATCTGGTACCAGAAGACAAGACACCGGTCGCCGCCGGGCTGGTAGATGGCACTCATCAGGCGGGCGTCCTTGCCGGCCGTGGGTTGGGAGGCAGGGACCAGGACGTTGGCGTACATGAAGTAGCCTGTGTAAGGACCAGGAGACAGAGCATTAATGGGCAAGTTGTAGCACAAACTTTATAAAGCTGAACCGATCGTCAATTACTTTTTAACAATGCGCAGGTGTGATACGTTCACACTTGAACGACCCCAGTTGAACAATTTTGCAAAATTCTATCAGCACATCTTGCCACTGGGTGCAATGCGGTTGGTGTTCATGCTCCAGGATATTTTTCATGTGAATGGGTTCCACTGCATTGATAAATGACATCAGCTATTGAAAGCCAGCAGCAATACCATGCCCAAGGGGCAACAACTCCAAAATGTCACCTAGATGGTCCAAACTATCCACTGCTCAGGTAACTATGGTTGGAACCTTAGCTAACAATAGCTATTGAAAACCAGCAGCATGATTATGCCCAAGGGGCTATAACTCCAAAATGTCACCTAGACGGTCCAAACTATCTACTGCTCAGGTAAAATTGTTGGAACCTTAGATAACAATAGTTGTTGCTCCAACTTGCTCCATGCTATAGTCAGTTACTCTACTAGTGCTTAACATTTGCTTGTAACCGTTTCTCAAATTTAATTGGGGGTTCATGTCAAGTACTTCGTATGTACTTTACATGAGGTCACATTTCTTTCTCAAGGGCTAGGGTAGTTGTTGCGTACTTCGGTTGTGTTCATTGGCAGGACACAGGATATTTTTTTAAAAACCACGTTGACAAAATTGAGACTAGCACTGACATCAGGGGCCACTGTGTCCTTTTTTTCTGGAAATTCATTTTTACAGACTCATCCAAATGTCCTGAGAGTGCTAAGCAATGGAAAAAAAAATCTGCCGAGCTAATTTGAAATGTTGATGTTTTTGGCAGCAAAAAACCAGACTTTCTAAACTTAATCTCACAAACAAATATCATCTCTTTCTCAGAGCAATGAGCAATGCGCTCCATTCTCCCTGTTTGAAAGGCCTGCCCTGAGCTATCACAATCCTTTCCCACCCCCCACAACCTCATCATTGGTTTCTCACCCAGGGACGTTCCCAAGGTGTGATCAGTCGGTGGGCCGGTCCCTGCGCTGGCACTGCCGGAAGCGCCTCGCTGCCAATCAAAGTCGTCCGTCTGGTCGTTCATCCAGGTGCACATGTCTTGCTCAAATTCGCACTCATCTGCAAAACAAATGAAAATTGTAATTATAATCACTCAATAATAACCGTCATCATAATCAATATCCCAGCTGGCCGAGTCTTCACATGGGTGGTTTTTCTATGGCTGAGGAAACCACAAATAGGTTTTGACGTTTTGGCTAAGAGCCAAGAAGCCCCGGGATAAGTAAAATGAAACATCAATAATGAAATCTGACACGAATCCCCCAATCCCTGTTCTCATAACTGTGACACTCACTAGGCTGAGGCATTTCTGAAAAGTTGGCAAACAGTAAAAGGAGAGTTTGCCTAAACTGAAAACTACAAGACAAAAACCATCAAAACAGATGAAGGTCCCATTTGTGTCCAACACCTGACTTAATATTTTCCTAAAATACACGGTCATCTCACGGTGATGCCGAAATTCTTGTATCTGCTCTGAGCCGAACAACAGAGGGTGTGGTTTTTTTTGGTACTCACTGCATAGGCGCGCCATAAGGCGCGCAAGTATATGCATGTTTGACGCAGAGCACGCTGAGTCCGCGTAAATAAGTTATTCAGGCATGAATGGCCTTTGCGTATATGCAAAACGCGTACAAGAACCCGCTTGTAACCACCTGTTATGTCTTTCTTTTGCTGATTGGGGGTGTACTGCAGCTCGGGCTGCATTGCCAACAGCAGAATATAAAACACCTAAATCAATGAATGTCTAGAACACGAGGTATGGAGCACAGCATGTACAACATTGTCAACGTGCTTCAACATAAACAAAACTAACTCACAAATCAATACGAAAACTAAGTGAAAATAAGTATCTTACGAGATGGAGGGCACTGGCCCGGAATCAGCTTGATGTCATCAAGCGAGATGTCGCCACCCCAGGACTTGCCCACGATCCCTTCAAACAGGATCTGGTAGGTCTCCGTGCTGGTCACGTAGTCGCGGGCAAGGTGCCACACGTTGGACTGGGTCCCTTGCTTTCGGTACATCTGTAACAATGGCAGTGACACTTGTCAATAGACCCCTTGCAGCTGGTACTCAGTAATGGTTCCTTCAACATGGCAAGGAACCATTGAAAAAGACCTGAAGTGTAATCGTCTATTTGGAGCGCATGGTACACCTGCTGTTTATGACAATGTGATCAGCCACTGCATGATAATGACAGTGACTGGAATGCATGCAATTGGGACTATGACAGTCCTCAGCACTTTGATGACAATCAATGACACGGACACCAAAATTCACATTTGGTCAGCTCAACCCTTTAAACAGAAAAACAGTATTTGGTAGCCAGCACTTTTATGAAAAATTAGTAATCACGTGTGCTGAATATTCATGAACGTACGTGCACACATGTAGTATAAATGCCGTGGTTTATAAAATGGCCCTGGTGTCTGTATACAGTGCATCAACAACATATATTTAGATCAGGACCCAACAAAACCGTGCGTGTGAGCGCGACACATGTACATAAGTATGGTATATGTACATGTACAGCACACTCGGTGCGACTCAATGCAACTTGCGCCGCCATTTCTACTTTTCCGGAACTAACTTTCAGTACATAATCATTGCTTTTTTTATTTTTAAGCATACTCAAAATTGTTCAAATACATTTGTATGTACTTTTTAAGCTATCTTAAGTCGCACATGGCGACTGGATGGTGAAAATATGACCACATTAGCAAAATTTTGGTCACATTTGCGACTGATTTAGGTGCTATTTAAAGCATTGGGTAGGCTCTGTCCCTGTCCTTCCCCCTTGAAGAATGAACCTTGAACACGATGTCCACCACGACACATCTGCACTGGTAACAAATGCAGTCATTCTTACAAATGCGCATGCAATGTGGCAGGTCATAACACCCACAGGTCAACAAGCCTTTTTTAGATATTCACATTCAACCTTTGTGTGAGGCAAAACCACTGAGGTAAAATGGCCCCTGGGCATCGCAGGGAAGGGGAGGTGGGGGGAGGGACATTCCCCCCCCCCAAAAAAAAATGAGAAATAACAAAGGGAAGATAAAAAGAAAAGATAAAGTAAAAGAAACGGAGAAACAGAGACGACAGTACCCAACTTGCTTGTAACTGCTTTGGAACTGACCACCTCCTACCATTAATGGTTTGTCTGTTTGCTGGTGATGAGTACTTTGCTCGTCCCCCTCCTGGGAAAACTCCTCCCCCCAAAAAACACCCAGCCTACATCAAGGCTAATGGTATGTAATCCTGGTTGCCAGATTGGTCTGTAAATCCTGAATTCAATATTCCACAAAACCAAGGCATACCTTTGCATCATTTCACGGTAAGTTCATTAAGAAACAGTGAAAAAATTAAGTCAGTCTGGACAAAAAAATGAAAGACACCCTTACGTTGGTTTCGACGCCACTTGCCGTCCGCTGCAATACGTTAAGGGTGTCAATGTCGGGGCCAAACATGTGGTACCAGAATTCCAGGCAGTACTCGGTGTTGGGGGCCATGTCGCCTGACGACAGACGGGCCTTGTCACCTTTTTGCCTCGGTACGGAGGCTTCGATGTACACGTAACTTCCTTTGGCTGATTAAAAAAGAGTAAACAAAAGTCAAAATATCAAACACGAGTCCCGGATTCGATGCCAACAGGACATGTCTGGGCTGTCTGTGCACATTCAAACGCAAGTCCTCAATACTCAATGCTGATGTTCTGAAAATGAAACATTTTTCTTTCCAAACACACCCCCTTCATGGAAACTTTGTGCACCATTTTTCCAGTGTTGTTGGCAAATTATTGATGTTCAAACAAAGCAAAGGTTAGTACTGCATACTGTGGAATTAGACAAGAACATAACGATGGGGGCGGCATTTTTGTGTACCTATTACACCTGACGTGTGTAATGTGACAGGAATATCGCCGGAATTGATTTCAACCTATTACTATTTGTTTGGCAGGTAATTTGCATTAATTCATCACTCGAGGAAATTAGAAAATGTGTTCTGAACTTACAAAATTGTATGTCTGAAGTGACAGGGACATGAAAAAATTTGGATCCCTAATTTATAGAATGACCCATAGGGAAAGCATCATATCAACACCCTACCCCACTTTTTTGTGGCCAAATTAAAAATGTTGTGCTTACATGTACATTTCATTCAACAGTCCCTAATAGCTTATTCAATGACTCAAAACTAGAAAATGATGTCCAAATGATGGCTGCCAAACTTTGAAGCATACTTTTCAGAAAAATGGCATAAATCTGGAAAAAGCTTTCGCCAAAATTCATTCCGTAAAGAGGTCAGAAATTGCCTCAGATCGCAAGGCAGAGCATCTAGAATCCAAAAGTGATCGATGCCGTTATGCAGAGGTTGAAGAGTTTTAGGCTGCATCCGAATTTCTTGTCTAGAGCTAGGTCTAGGTCTTCACTCCATTGGAAATGGGTGGAGACGCGTAGACAATAGACCTAGCCTGTTTCGGACACGGCCTTAGACTCACCGGTGCCCAGCGTGTGGTCAAACTGCGGCCCTGTGTTGGTGGAGGCGGTACCGCCCGTCTGGACTGTCCAATCGAAGTCGTCTGCTGTGATCTGCTTCCAGCCGCAGATGGTCTTGGACTCAAAGTCGCAATTCAAATCTGAACAACAAAGATGGAGGTCAAAACAAATTATAAAGTACAAGTCAGATGATGAAAGAGCGACAAAGCTGTAGTGGAATATGAATATGACATGCTGCAAATGAAAGTGAACGTGGGAAAGGGAAACTTTCTTCACACTTTTTCTCTTCACAGGGAATTTATTGTAATTTCACAAAATATGAAAACTTTTCCCAAAGTTGGAAATGATTTTCACATATTTCCCATCCCACTTCAGAGTTAATTTTCAATCACAATGTACGGCACAATACACAATCCCAAAATTACTCTACAAATCTGCAGTAAAAAGACACACACTATATCATTTCGAACTAGACATATCAAAGCTGATTGGTTGGTCCCATAGCAACAGCAAAGTGGCCTATTTTGTATCATTTCAAACTAGACCTTTCAAAGCTGATTGGTTGGTCCCATAGCAACAGCAAAGTGGCCTATTTTGTATCATTTCAAACTAGACCTGTCAAAGCTGATTGGTTGGTCCCACAGCAACAGCAAAGTGGACTATTTTTAACAGTGTTACAAGATAAATTTAATTGAATTTTTATTGTTTTCTACTATTTCCCAGTTTTTTCATTTATGCCTGGAGGATAATTGACAACCACAACCCCAGAACAGGATAATATGTTCAGCTCCGAGCTGTGTAAAGAAGTTCCAAACAGAGTTGACTGTTGTTCACAAGAAGCATGAGTGTAAATTCCTGGCAATGGAACTTATGAAGACTCCACAGTTTGCATACCCGAGTCCACGCCGCACTTGTCAAACGTGATGTCGTCGATGGCGATGTTGGTCAACTGGGTGGGGTCAAGGAAACTGGAGCCTGGTGAGGCCTCAAATCGAATCTGGAAAATGAGCAAAAAACCTGGGCTGAGTCAACAAAAGTGCCATCAACTGGAACTCGATTTTGCACTACCGTAGTCAAGTACTGAAATAGCACTTCACAAGGTTTAAAGAGTGCTTCACAAGTACTCCAAAGGATCCTAATTTAATGGTGTGTACAGCTGTACAAAGAAGTCTGGTATTGCAACTGCTCTGTCAAAGCACGGCTGTAGTCTGAGCCTATCACAAGTCCAGTCACAAGTCAAGTCAGAAGTCGTCCCACAAGCCTAGTCACACAACCGCCCATAAGTATAAACGTGGTGAACAAAAAAATGCTTCCGTTACAGTGCACTTGGAGACAGTGGCGTAACTAGGATTTTACTAGTGGGGGGCACAAGGGGGCACCAGTATCTTATGGGGGGGTACCAGCTTTCAGTGGTGTGCTTTTGGGGGGGGCAAGTTTTCGTAAGCCTAATAGCCATTACTTTGTTTTTTAGTGGGGGGGGGCACCAGCAATTTGTGGAGGGGCACGTGCCCCTAGGCCCCCCATGGCTATGCCACTGCTTGGAGAGCTAATGACCTGGCTTAAGACCGGATGACTTGTGACAGATCTGCAGGGTCTCGTGAGGAACTGGGATAGGCTGGACTGCAGCCCCACGTACCTCACAGCTTGGCAAAACACCCCCTGCCCCTAGTTGCGTAGTGTGAGTGTGCGGTTCCCTCTCTACACCAGAGGGTGCTACATTTACTCAACCACTCACCGTGTAGGTGTTGGCCGCCCGCGGGCCCACTTGGAGCTTGCCGGCCTTCCACTGATCAGCTGAGGTGGACTTGATGACCGTGGTGGAGTCCGGCAGTGAGTTCTGGTAGACGGAGACAATCAGGGAGCCCGGATCGGTCCCGCCTTGGAAGTGGTACCAGAAGTTCATTTCGCATCTTGGGGAGGGGGAAATGAAAAGAACAAAAAATGGTGCAGAGTAAGACAAAACTGCGAGTTGATAGCCAGTGATGTATCAAGTGGAGGAGGGGGGGACAACCTGCCAAGTTTTCAGATTTTCATCCCAAGTGCTACAATTTCAGAAGCGGTACCACAACCTTTCACAAGGAAGTGGTGAGGATTCTTTGCGGATGAAAATAAAAAAAGGAAACAGTTGTTTTTGAGAAAAATCCCCATGTTTGCCACCCTCGGGACTAAAATCTTGGTTGGCCACAGCTGATGATTCTTTGGTTCAGTGTTTATAAGTCCTCCACAAAATCACACTGGACAGACGTTGGGGTTCCACTGTTCTGGTTGCTAAAAAAACTGTTAAAACCCTTTACAGAAAACTCTGACCGAAGCAACGATGAAGATGTTATCAGCGAGGGCCAGTTGATACTTAGCAAAGGTCTCCTGTGAGGTAATCACACTGCAGGAGCATAAATGCACCGGATCGTGTGTTCATGGTGCAAAATAAGAGCAGTTTGATTCCATTTGGATATCAGGATTGGTGTAGATGCCATGTGCTTGCAAAGGAAATAAGGCTGTTTCATTATCGGTAATCAGACAGAAATTGACACGTTGGTCTCCTTGTAGAATCTTCACATGCACATCAGATGGCATATTGATAAAAGAAATCACTCTGACGACACAGATTGTGTTTCACGTACTTGGAGCCGCGATTGCCCAGCAGGGGACTCTGCAGGATGGCGGTGGTCAAGAACGTTGCCGTGGTGCTGTCCACAAACATGTACCAGCCGGTGCCCGTGGTGTGGTCGGTGTTGGGGGCATGGGGCTTGGCGGTGTCCGTTGACTGGCGGCGTTCCCACTGGTACAGGCCCGATGTGATTCCGGACCAACCGCACTGGTTGCTCTCAAAATCGCAGTTACCTAGAATTTATGAAAAATAGGCAGCAAAAGTTAAGGTCTCTGGTTCGAATACGGCCGTGAGGTTTGTAGGGATCTGTGGATTGTCTGCGTTCCCACTGGTACAGGCCCGATGTGATTCTGGACCAACTGCACTGCTCGCTCTCAAAATCGCAGTTACCTGGAATTTATGAAAAATAGACAGCAAAAGTTAAGGTCTCTGGTTCAAATCCAGCCGTGGGGTTTGTAGGTATCTGTGGACTGTCAGCATTCCTACTGGTACAGGACAAATGTGATTCCCGACCAACCCCAATTTTTCATCTCAAAATTGCAGTAGCCTGGAATTTCAGGAAAATAAGTAACAACAGTTAAGGTTCCAGGTTTGAGTCCACCCATCTGGCTTATAATTCTGTGGACTGTTCTCATTCATGAAGGCAAAGCAGGCCTGACATAACAGACCAACCACACTGATTGTTCTCAAAATGGCAGTTGCTTGGAATATAAGTGAAGCAGTTCCTAAATGTCAAGGTTTCAGGTTCAAATCCAGCCTGTATGGGTTGCATATGTTCAAGTTGGTACTGGATAATCATGACATTAAACAAACCTCTCTGATCTTCCCCAAATGAGACAAAATTCTGGCAGAGCAGATTTCAGAGGTTTGAATCCCATCAAGTCATATCTTAACCCCTTCACACTGGGAGACGTCGACACCTGCGGCTTTGTGTAAGGATTAGTGCATACCACACATACATTCTATTCATCATGCACCTGCGCTTTCAATGTGGGCCTGCTGCTGGACAAGGCTTTGCATACTTGGCATACCGCAGCCCAACAGCTGCGGTCAAAAGAATCCCAGCGTTAAGGGGTTAAACTCACCGCAGTTAGCTTCATCCGATTTGTCAGCACAGTCGTCGTTGCCGTCGCAGACCAGCAGGACGTCGATGCAGCTGCCGTCGGCACAGGCAAACTGTGCCGGCAGGCAGGGGTTGGAGGTGGGATTGATGGGGATCTTGGTGGGCGGCGGCACCGAGGGGAAGTTGCCAGTGAATGCCTTGCAGGCCGGGGTGAAGGAGACATCGTCAATGGCAATGTCGCCGTACTTCCCTCCCACGGTTGCCTCAATCAGCACCTGTGACAAATAAGAAAAAAAAAAAAACAACTCTATGACACCAACTCCATTGACCCATAGGCACTGTGACCCCATTTTTCAGGCATGCAGATCCAGCTAGCATTGTAGTTGGGTACTTCACAAGTACTTGACAGGGACTCACATTTCCATCACAACTAGCAATCGACAAGCTGTTCACATGAACTACAACTAAGACATGTCTTTATTATTTTTGGTGCCCAGTATTCGCAGAGACAATTATGAAAACTAGTAAAAAATACAAGTTAAGGACCAGTGGAATACTTGCTTCCAACATCTACTACCTCTACAAACATCAGTTTGAAAGTTTGCAAGTCACCTGGGCTCAGGCTATACAATGTCCTTGTGGAGCAATGAAGCTGTAAGCTTCATTCTTAGAAATAAAAGCTGCAAGTATTACGCTATGTTATTTAAAGAAACCATTTTAGTAGGGGTGCGTTTGGGTGGCCACAACCAAGAACTGATTCGGTGGTAATTCATCAGAGATTTTTGGCGGTAATTTTAATTGAGTAAAGACTTACAGGTAAGAACAAAACAAATCACAGATTTTCAGTTTTAAAGAAAGTACCTGTAACTGCGCATAAAACGTCTGAACGATGCATTTCTTCCCATACCGATGAATGCTTTCTCTCAGATTAAAAATGTCTGAATTCACACAAAAGTCTGAAACATTTCATGTCTGTAATCAATTCCTCAAAGTAATTAACCAAAGAGAAACAACCAAATCAATGCTTATAGTTGCTTAGTCCATGTCACCTTTGACCTCTGACCCTCTCTACTGACCTGGAAGGGTTTATTGTGGCTCAGGATGATCTCGGCCCGCTCGTAGAAGTCTCCCTTCTCCCCGGACATGCTCCAGATGTTGGTCAGGGGGCCGTTGGTGGTGTCCCAGAAGTAGACAGTCAGGGTGCCGATGTCGATGCCGTACATATGGTAGTAGAATCGGATCTTGCAGTCGGTAGACGTGACGGCTTGGATGGCGTAGCTGGCCAAGAAGGCACGGTTGCCATTGGAGGCCCCCGTGGTCTCCAGGACAAGGTACGTGCCTGAAACCAAAAGGAATGGAATGCTTATCAGGTAAAGGAAGAAAAGGTGGAAGTTATAACGGAAGTCATGGAAAGTTACTGCTTGGATGGATGTAGTGGCTGGCCATACAGGAAAGCGCAGTTAACCACCCTTGGAAGCACCAGTGGTCTCCTGGTGCAGGTGGGTAGGTAGGTTGGCCTGAAGCCAAGGAGGAAGGCAAGGCTTATCAGTTATAACGTTATATAAAGTTATAATGGAAGTCACAGGAAGTAAATGCCTGAACGTAATAGCTGGTCAGGAAGACACGAGGTAAAACCTAGAAACAACAGAAGTCTCCGGGTGGAGGACGATGCCCGAAGCCAAAAGCAATCGCTTTTCATGGAAGTAAGGACAGATGGAAGTTAGAATGGGAGTCATGGTTGCCACTGCTTAGATGTTATTGTTAATCAGGAAAGCATTGGCAGCATGGTTACCCTTGAAGGCAAGACTTGCCATGTATTAAGGAAAGACAGAAGTTGGAAGTCCTGAACAAAATCAGAAAGATAGGAAGTATGAACAAAACTATTCATTGGATGAATAATTACAAAAAACATGTGATAAAACAAAGGAGAGTGAACAGAAAACAAAGAACATGACGAGCTCCTTCGCGAAGAAGGTGAGAAGAGTGGAGAGGAAGAGAGAGCAAGGAGGTGATCAACTCACCCGTGGACAGTCCAGTGGTGTGATCCCTGGCCGGGCCCGTCCAGGGTGTGCGGGTCATTCCCTGTTGGGCCTGCCAGTCCAGCTCATCGGTCACCAGCTGCGTCCAGTCGCAGATGGTCCCCTCAAAGTTGCACATGTGGTAGGTTTCTGGGGAAAAACGGAAAAAAAAATTAAAAAAAAAAAAATCAACAAAGGAAAATTCACTAACCATATTAAGCGAGACGCTTGTCTACCCTTTCCAACTGATCTGCAGGCTGCGGCCTGGTTCAACAGGCACACCTTGGCACAGGCTTCTGGCTAGTAGCTGAAGCTCATGCCCATAGAAGTGTGTGTTAACCCTAGCCGCAGCGGTTGGTTTGGACGTGGGCTTATAACCATACGTGGCTCAGGTAACTTGTGGCCCATTCTATTGGGGCACATTTTCCGGCTACTTATGACAGCTTTGCCATCGATTTTATACTCACTGCATGTTGTGGCGTCTTCGTCGGTCTGGTCTCCGCAGTCGTCTGTCAAGTCGCAGACCCGGTTGTTGTCCACGCAGTTCTTGCGGTTGCACTGGAGTTGGTCCGAGGCGCAATTGCCCGAAATCGGTGCTGGGAAAGAAGGTCAAAATTATCAAAAGGTCAGTGGTCTAAAAACTAGTGAGTGGGTAATGGGTGAATTCAGACACTGGTCAACTTTATTCTCACAAGCTTATAGTGTAAACATGTTTGATACAGATTTTTTATGAATTCACAGATCTTTATAATTGTGTAATTCTTCTTATTTCAGTTTTCAAAACCTACAAACCAAAGACTAATTTATTTTTCATACTAGAAATTTATAATGAATTTTAATTCGTTACCTGGGAGACCACAACCAACAAAGATGATGTCATCAATGGCAATGTCACCTAGGACAGTGAAGGATCTGGTGGCCTCAAATACAACCTGTGATGGGAAGAGAGCTCAGTTTGACCAGTGCAGTCTAGAAACTGGACTCGGGAATATGAATGTTGTATATCAAACCCAATTTAAAGAGGAACCTGGATCTAACCGGTTCAAACTAGATGAAACCAGATCAAACCAGGAGGCACCAAGCACAATCTAACTTACTTTAAAGGGGTTCTGGACACGACCGATACCAAACTGTAAGTAGTTCCACTGGTCACCCATGTCCTGGTCGAAGTACACCAGCATGGTGCGCGTTACGCCTGTGAGCATGTCCACCTGCAGGGAGCCGATGTCTGCAAAACAAAACAATCAAACACAAACTAGGTGTGAATTGTTCTAGTATGGAGGCCTGTACAAGGAAATTAAGTTGCCATCATTCCCTTTCAAGTGTTGTAGATGAGACCAGTCACAAGAATGTACACAAACACCACAAACCAGACACAAGACCAAGTCACAAGAATGTACACCAAGACAAAATGGCCTGACACAAACCACGCAAGACCAAGTGACAACAGTCACAAGACCAAACACAAGACAAGACAAGACAAGACAAGACAAGACAAGACAAGACAAGACAAGACAGAAGACCAGTCATAAAAAAGGATACAAGACCAGTCACAAAGCCATTCACATGACCAGTCACAAGACCTTTCTGCAGTTCACTAAAAATGGCTTCCAACTGGATGCTCTAAGGCATCGGTCTTTTAGGGTCTCATGATGGCCTTAAGAGGTCTTGATTACAACAACTCTAGCCCACTCTGCCAGCTACCCCAAGGAGTAAAGAGATATCAAACCGATGGGTCCACAGTTTGTCACACATTCATTCTAAGGTCACCCCTTGAGCCAACCCTTGACAAGCTGTGGGAAGGTCTACACTTTTGGATCAGAATATGAGATTTTGAACTTGTTTTTTGGACGCAAATTGAGGGCTCACTCGGGTAAAGGTCCTTGTGCCTCGACTTGTCAACATACCTTGGCCATACATGTGATACCAGAAAGTCAGCAGGCAGGTGGAGGAGGCGTCGTAGAGCGTGGGAGACTCCAGGGTGGCCTGGCTGAAGCTGGAGCCCGAGTTGGCATTCACAAACATGTAGTGACCTTGAGGAAGAGAAACGAGAATGATTACATGCACCAGATAACATGCAGGGAAGTGTAGTAGTCAAGTCAAGTACTTTAAAAGCACTCCATACATCTTAAGTATTCCACAAGTCCCCACAGGTACTTGGCAAGTCCTCAAGCGTACTTCACAGGTCTTCACAAGTACTTCACAACTATTTAATATTTCTTCACAGGTACATGTACATGTACTTCACAAGTACTGCATGAGTCTTCAAAAATGTCCCACGTCATGACAGGTACGGTAAAAGTGCTCCACAAGTCTTCACAAGAAATATTTTAATTATCTACTACAGCTACCATACTGCGAGCATTGATGAAGGCGCGGTCTTTGGGACGGGCTATCATTTCCATCTGCAGCATTTTATGTGAAGGTGTGGTCTCTGGGCAGCATCACAGCTTGTTTAAAGGAGTGGTCTCCGAGAGGCTGAGCTAGTGTTAATTACCTACAGCAATGCTGATGGTGTGGTCTTCTGAGGGTGCAGGATTAATGGTGGGTGTGGTCTCTGAGGGGGGGGGGAGCCAGTGTT